TATTTCAAATATTTTTTTATTAATTCGCAATTTTCTTCTGTGAGTCTAATTAATATCTTGCCTAGGTCAGCCCACTTTTTCACCCAACAGAGCGAGGAGCGTGGAGCGTTGGGCAGACTGCTGATCTGTTTGGAATTCGAGCTGGAACGTCCCGTCGCCTGATTACATGGCTGGCACATTTTAATTGATGATCCAAACAGCAATGCCTGAGTTTATAGCTTTGTTTGGCATTTTTGCTCTCTTTGCTTTTCTCCTTTTTTGCGTACTTCTTGTCCGGTCTTTATGATTATTGCTTTGACTTGTTATTTATTTGTTTTTTTTTAGGTCTGCTCTGCAATGAAAGCGGGTTTCGAGTGTTTTTCAAACTTCAAAATGCCCTGAAATAATATTAGATTTCTAATAAATTTTAAAGTTATTTGGAAACCTAAAATATCAATACTTTATGACTAATATTTAATAGATCTCGCCACATTGCGTATACGTAATGGAATATTTGTACGACTTTAAAATGTAAGCTTATCTCTGAGAAGCTGTCTTTTCGAATCATTTTCAAGTGCATTTTTTATGATACTTTTTTATTTTTGTTCACTGTGTGTGTGGTGGGTGTGTGTGTTTAGAAGATTCGTGCAAATTATACGTTTTCAAGATGCGAATGACACATTTATTTCGCCACATGATTTTGCTTTTATTGAGAATGTGAAATGTTACAATTATAATGTTTCTACGCTCCAACTCGTGTTTTTTTTTCGTTAATCTATTTTCAACTTCTATCCTCGTCGCCTCCCCAGGTCCCCCTTTATTCATTCTCTTTTGCTCTTCTTCTTTCCCGTTCTCTGCGTCACCAGGCAGAGTCGGTCGCCAGTCGGGCCCCTTATGGCAGCTTCTATGTGTGGGTCCACATTGTTACCTATACACGCACTCTCCCTGCGCACATTACTGTATAATACACAGGAAGAAAAAATATATATTTAATCAAAAATGTATGGAAATCTTAAAAATATTATTTAAAGATCAAAGAATAAGGTCACCAGTGCACCATATTGCAGTGAAGAATAACTTTCAAAGCTTAAAGAAGTAATTTATTACCTTTTACCAAGAAATATACCATTTTTGCCTTAATTGAATGACTAGATTGAATCTATTTTAATGTCATTTTTTGTAGTGTACACATAATATAAAATCAAGTATACGTATTCCCTCGTATCACAATTTCAAGAGACGCTAATAGAAACGATGCCGCGCAGTCAGGGAATTTTTTATTTTTTTGTTTTAGCTCAACTGTTGCCAACGTCAAGTGTTCGGCTGATGCGCGTTCAATAAGAAATCAAAAATAAATAATATTTTCCACTTGCAAGCGCCGCAAAATAAACAACAAAATAATAATAGACGGATGATGAAGCTGCGTGTGCTAATGCCACAGAGAAAGTTCAATTTTGATTGACAGCTAAACAACAAGAACAAACGAGAATCAGATCAATTGATATTGGATTTGAGTTGCTTTTCATCAAAAGAGGGAAACGGAAATGCACTGCTTGCGGCTTGCTAGGTGTGGTGAACCGTTGTCCTTATTACCGTTGTAATACTTTACCTGAAATATTAAGAAACATGAGGAAATCTACAAATTTCATTAGTTTAAGTCTTTAAATACTTATTAAGTGTTCTATTTTAGTAATAATAACAAACCAAGCTTTCAAAAATAGAATTTTATAATATGGGTAAAGTCCAAACTGTTAGAAATCGAGATTTTGTATATTAAATATTCATTGCATCACCTATAAAGTGGAATATACTTTGTTTATACTACATTCACCCATTGATAAGGAAGGGTACTCCGAAACAGACTTTGATTCGCAAGCCATCAGTCTCCTCCTCTTTTCACCCCATACTCACATACGCACTGGGAACTGCTCCCAACTGGATTTTGACGTCACACTTGGACTACTATATATTTCGCAAAGTCCACTAGCACGCTTGCACCCTGTTCAGACAAACAGACGGACAGACAGACGATTTCTATGCACTTGGGCTTGGGAAATCGAATCGCAATCATCTGATCGCCGATTCGAACGAATCCGACCGACAAATCTCCCAATTAATGGGGAAAACTGCGCACCAAATGAGTTCAATTGCTGGGTTAGCTGATGATTCGGACGGCGATGGGCGTGGCGCGTGTGTCCACTGAGGCCTGACATTTGCATTAATCTTAATTGATTAATAACAATTCAAGTTCAAAGCTATTAAGCGGAAATATCCGTGGCAACTAGAGTGCAACAAGTATGCAAAGTTATATGTTATGAGACAAGTAAACATTGCTCCGATCATGAAGATGGATGCCCAATATGATGTAACTATATATAAATTTTAAGAATTGTTAATAAAAGCCAGTTTAAATTGCTTTCGAGGCTTCTTTTATAGTCAAGGAGCTTGACTATAAGCATCATTATTATTACAATTATTATTCTCCTTGGGATTTTCACAAATTTAGCTAGAAACCCTTGCGATCAATTAGATAATATCAATTACAAACTAAAACTGTAAACGCTTTCTTTTTAGAAAATTTAATGCTTGGCAGTTTTCTTGTCAGTTTCCTTGTCATCTTTATCGTTCTCGTTGCCATCGCTTTCCTGATCCTGATCCGCCTCGTTTTCGTTTTCATTCTCCTTATTTTCCTGCATCAGCTTAAGGGCCTTGATTGCCTCGCGATCCTTCTGAGACTTCTCCCAGGCCAGCTCGAAGGGATATTCCAAGGGCTTAAGTTCGTCGGGACACTCTTCCTGATTGGGAGCCGTGGCCTGATTGATGGAAGCACCTCGCGTATGGATCTGTTCCAGCTGGGCTGCATTGTGGACTTCCGCATTGAGACCCGTAATGAACTCAAACAGCTGCTCCTTCGTGTAGATGTTGGGCAGTCCGCGGCGCTCAAAAAAGTTGACAATGTTGCCACAATCTCGCATGAGGAACTCCAGGGCACTGGGATGCTTTGGCTCGACGCTCTGGGCCACATCGATGAACCAACACTTACCTTCGAACCACAGGATGTTGTACTCACTCATGTCCGCATGCACCAACTTGGCCTCGTTGTACAGCTTGTGCATGGCGGCCACAATCTCTTCGTAGGCGCAACTCAACTCTGCGGCACTCAGTCGGGCATCCTTCAGTTTAGGCGCGGCGTTGTGGTTGTCGCCGATGAAGCGCATGACCAGCACGTGCTTTTTTAGGACCACCACATCGGGAACATTCAGACCGATGGCCTGCATCCTCATCAGGTTGTGCATTTCCTTCTCCGCCCACATATTGATGATGACGCGATGGTTTTGCTTGCTGAATCGATCCTTGAAGCGATAATCGTCCTTGATGTACCGATCCCGCTGCTTGAACTCGTTCAGGGTGGTCTTGAATATCTTGATGGCGCATTCTTTTGGCAGAAGATGCGCTGGCATCAGTACGCCGCTCTGATGACCGTGCTCGTTGCTCCCCGTGTAGTTGGCATCCGAGTTGGCGTGCAGAATGACAGCCTCCTTGCCCGTGGATATGATGCCGTTGATCTGCTCGAGTATTTGATTGTTGATCAGCTTGTACAGCAGCAGACGGGTGCTAGCATCCAAGCCCATCTCGGCGGTGGCCACTTTCTCGTGCTTATCAGACCGTCCACGCTTGGAGTAGGCCCTCAGTTGGTTAAATACCTATAAAACATTGAGATATCTGGTTATTATCTACATTTCCCTTTGGATGGGCTTGCTCTCACCTTGTTGGACAGCTTCATGTCAAAGCCAGCTCCATCGCCGGTGGGAAACTCTGGCGGAAAGGACATTACACGCTGTGCATTACGCACTGCACACAACTGCGGATCGTGCTTGGTGATCATCTCGCCCTCTTTGTTTACCTTGAAGCCGCAACGTGGAATGGCATCAAGCTGCCTTTCGTTCTCCTCAAACCGATCCCAGTCGTGCTTCAGCTGCTCTAACTCATCCTCCTCGTAATCATCCTCGGCGGTGTCGTGCAAGAACTCGGCATCGCCGTCGCGCAGGAACTTGTTTAGTGTCACCGTGACCTTGGATTGCTTATTCTGCTTCCGTTCGATGCGTCGCAGCTCCTCGTTGTACTCGTGATCGAACTGGGACTGCAGCATCTGCGCAATGACGGCGTCACTGTCCTCCTCCAGCGCCGGAATATCCTCGGGCAGCAGTATGTCACTGTCTTTGAGTAGGGCCGAGTAATCTTCCCATTCCTCGGCATCGCTTGGTTTTTGCAGGGAACATCCCGCCACCTCGGAGTAGCTAGAGGAGGGGCTCGGAATAGCTGCTCCTTGCCAAATGGAGGGTATGCCATGCTGAGCCACTGGCTTCTTTTGCTTCTGCAGCTCCTTGTCGTGCAGCTGATGGGCGTACTGCTCCGACATTATGTCCGCCAGGTTCAGAGCCTGCACAGGCTCACTGGTCTTAACCCAAGGTGACGACATTCTAAACGTAGGAAATGTTAATTAGACACTGAATTGTATAGGGCGATTCACCGACAAACCTTTTGGCACTTGGCTGGACACTTTCGAGACCCGTTTCGGTGGTAATTGTGTGGGGAAGTCTGTGAACCAAACACAAACAAACCTCTTGTAAGATCCTCACCAGCTGCTTTTAGCAGCGGATTTGAAGTGTCCGGTCTCGGTGAGTGTTCTATTTTATAGCGCGATGGACGCGCGGCAGTAGGCAAGCAGTTGCAACTCTGTTGCAATCGTTTCTTCCTTGTATTTCACCAAAAACAATGCTACTTTTCCTGCGATTGTGAAATTATGAATGGGCAAATGAATTAGAGATGGGCAAAAGTCACATCGCCTCACGAGACAGCGCTGCCAATTGGATATGCAGCTAGTGCTGCCAGATCGACAACCACTTTTCGTGCCTAAAGTATCGATAGTATGACGGCGACAGCCCTGGGGCCTAGTAATCGATAATTTTTTGTTGTAGTTGTACATTTTTCGCCAAAAATAATAATAAAAGTGAAAAATTTTTTGTTAATACAGTTCTCTTTTTTGTTGTACAAAGAAAAATGTTATTAAACTGATTCTCGTCGCGTTTTCCCCCTCCGAAAAAGTAACGGAATAAACGGCCGCCAGCAGCAACGACAACAACAACAACAAAGTGCAATAAATACGTGCCTAGAGTGCGCTGGTAAGAAAGATGGAAACAAAAAGCGAGAGAGACGAAAAGCAATCAAAATAGAATTCCGAATTTAGAATATGACAGACTGAAGAAAATGTTCAATTTTCGAACGCATTGCCGCTGGTGCTTCCTCTTTCCACTGTGCTTGCTGCCTGCCTGCTTTCAGCTGCTGCTTCCTCTTCCTTCGCAGGCGAATGTGTATGATGTGCGCGGGGGACATTGGGGGTCAAATGCAGAGCCGAAAGATCGGGGGAGATTTCTGATTGGGATTCTTCTTCTGTTTTCTGTTTTCTGCTTTCCGTTTTGGTTGGATTTTCGTGCTAATTTGCGATTGCAACGCTCACCCACATCCACACACACACACACACACGCTTTTCGGCCGCCTGTAATTATTGTTTCTTCTTTCGTAGCGCCTTCGCTTTAACCGCCAACAAACGCTGCTCATCCGCCGCCGCCGCACTAACCAAAAAAGAACATACAAGAGCATAACTTAACCCACACGGAGCGAGGATAATGATAAAGTCCACCACGAATCCACAGGAACAGCGCCTGCCACGCCCCGAGGATCAGCAGCAGCAGCAGCCACAGCCTCCTCATCCGCCACAGCCCCCTTCAGCGCCCGCCACGCCCACGCACCAGGTGGCCGCCGTCATAGCCAACATGGACACACTGAAGACCGCCTTTCTGCCCAATCTCAGCATGGATCCCAATGTGCATGTCGCCCCACACTACTGTCCCATGTGCCACCAGCAGTTCGAGCGGGCGCAGCACGCCGCAGAGCACATGCAACTCTGTCACGGGATCACGCTCAATGCGCAGGGTGCCATCACCACGCTGGAGGCCGCCCAGCAGCAGCTGCAACAGCAACAACAACAACAGCAACAGCAGCAGCAACTCAAGCCCAGCCATGCCTGCTTCAACTGTGATGAAAAGTTCGGTAGTGCGGTGGAACTGGACGAACACCATCGGCTGGCGCATCAGACCACCGCCTTTTTGGCGCGGTGCCTCATATGCAGCATCTATGGCGTCCACTCGGCCACGCAGCAGCCCAACGAGTTCAAGTGCTCGCAATGCGGCTCTGTTTGCACCACAGCCATGCTGGCCGCCGGACAGCAGAGCTTCATGGATCAGCAGCAGCAGCAGGAGGCGGCGGTGACGCCCGATGATCAGCTGCCGGCGATGGCGCCGCGTGATATGAGACTGACGCCCGAGGAGCAGCACCACCAGCAGCAATTGCAGGCGGAGCAGCACCATCACCAGCAGCAGCAACAACAACAGCAACAGCAGCAGCAGCAGGAACTGCAGCAACAGCAGGCGCAACAACATCAGCAGGTGCAGCATCATCAGGACCAAGATCTCGCTGGCGGCGATCAGGTGGCACTAAAGGTGCCACCCCTCACCGTCAAGTTGAACAAGAATGGAGCCAATGGCAGTGGCGGCGCCATTGTGGCCCATCCGCAAGTGATCATCAAGGAGGAGCCGCTCAGTCTGAGTGATAGTGGCGATGTGGTTAGCGCTGTGCCCGTCTATGCCATACAAGCGAATCCCGGCGTTACGGCCCCCGGAGCCACATCCACGGTGCTCGTCGGCACGCAAACAGTGCCCGCCGATCTGGCGCACAAGATCCGGCACAAATGCCCGGATTGTCCGAAGACCTTTAAAACGCCCGGCACGCTGGCTATGCACCGAAAGATCCACACAGGCGAAGCAGAGTAAATCCATTTTATATGCATCCCCCACTGACCATTTGTATTCCTGCAATGTTTGCTTGTTTTTGTGTAACTGACATAAGGTTTGGAAGCTATTATTTCTTTAAGACGTTAAAATTTTAATTAAAGTAGCCAGTGTATCTTTTCTTAAACCTCACAATGCAGTTTAAAAAGTTTGCACAGCATTACAAAGAGAAAGTAATTTAGAAGATTAGATCTTTGAAAGTTGATTAATTTTATTAAAGAATCCATAAGAATACTGCCTAAACTGCCGTATAAATAAGAAGTAAGTCTATTAAGTGATTAGATATTCAAAAAACCCATCGAGATAATCTCTAATTAATTTTCTAAAAGATACAATATACAAGAGAATAATATTTAAATGCATTACCCTATTAAACACTACTTTGTTAGGACTTAAACCAATCAAAAACAGTTGCTAAAATCATTGCAGGAATACCCATAGTCATTCATTCTTTTGGGCCTTCTCTAAGCCGGCCACTCAAAGGGAACTCGATATATTCTTATATACATTCGATTCCCTTTGGGTTCGCTGTAGCTTATAGAGATCGTGGCCAAGCTAACCCTAATAATCTTACCAATCTTGTATATAGTATATATTATTAGTTTTTTGTTTTTTTTTTCCTTCGGGGCCCAGCTGAGCGCATGGGCGCGCCCTCGAAGCTTTTGGGACGTGTGGCCCATGCGTTCGTGTGTCGTTTGTCGTTTGTTTTGCTATTTATTTTTATATTTCGAGTGTTACTAATAATATAATTCGAATTTCTTTCTTTTCTCCCGCGCCTCCTCTCTCTCTCTCTACTCTCTTCTCTATCTCTCTCTTCGCGTTATTTTGTGATTATGAATATATATGAATGAATGAATCTATATAATTCTTAACTCTCGTCTCCGAATCTCCGAAATCTCCGCAATCTCCAGCGCCACGCCCAAAGAACGCCCCTACACGTGCTCCTACTGCGGCAAGTCCTTCACTCAATCGAATACACTAAAACAGCACACTCGCATACATACAGGTGAGAAACCCTTTAGATGTGGCTATTGTGGCAGGGCGTTCACTGTTAAGGATTACCTGAACAAACATTTAACGACTCACACGGGTGAGAAGCAATATTTTTCAAATCAAATCAGTCAGTCAATCAGCTCTCAACTCTCAACTCAATCAATCAATCGACTCGTCAATCAACCAATCAATCGAACCAAACTGCATCACACCTCAGTGTGATTAGCAAAAAAATCAAAAGCAATACTCCAAAAAAAGAGAAACCTCTGTATGCAAGTCCATTTCCATTTGCCATACACCTCAACCTCGCTCTCTCTCTCAATCGATCAGTATCAGTAAAAGTGTCAGTCCCTCACCTTGCACAAGGATATAGCAAAAAGAAAAGGATAATCTTTGAGAGGATATCACTTGCTTAAAAGCTTTATATTTATAGATCTTGTTAAAAAGAAACTATTTCGGAAGGGAGCAGCTTCTAACTCCTTATCAATCAATGCAGTCGATAATCCCTTTAGACTTCTGATATCTTTAAATATTCTCAATATCAATGGAATATAGATAAATGTATCTTATAAATACTTTTTTGTATTCTAATATCAGGCAACTTATCAATCAGTTATTTAAGCCAAAAACCTTCGACTTGTTATCAGCTTAGAGATTACGCAGAGCTTTATTAACTAATTATAGATTAGAATCAAGAGATGATGCCTCAACAGGTTTCATCAGCAAGTGACATTCAGAGCGAGCCTTTAATTTTTGCCATATTCTTCGATTTATAAATAACGAACGAATCGAATGAGTCACTGTTTACATTGCCCTCACGATGAGAAAATAATTCTAATTTGGCACTCTGTCATTCCGTGAGGGTATCAATATATGATAATCCAAATCCGTATCGCCCGCCGCCTCATCTCATTACGTATTAATATGTCTCGAATGCATTTTAACACCACGAACCACCAACAATATATATACACACACATATTTACTATATAATCAATATATACATAGTTTGATAACGTGCAAAAACCTCTTTTGATATGCATATACACATATCTACTGTACCTACACACACACACACATCAATCAGTCAATCAAATTCAAGTTTTTTTGGTACTTGCACGCACCAATCAATCTCCAACTCAAACTCAAAATCAAAATCAAAAGTGGCGACTTGCATAGCGACAATTGCTAACCAAGTTTTCCAACCTTTTTTCTCTCCCTTTTATCTCCGTCCATTTGATGGCTGTTTTTGCAGGTGAGAAGCCCTTCCACTGTGGCTACTGCGAGAAGTCCTTTAGCGTGAAGGACTATCTCACCAAGCACATACGGACGCATACCGGAGAGAAACCGTACACCTGTCCGTACTGTGACAAGCGCTTCACGCAGCGCAGCGCCCTAACGGTGCACACGACCAAGCTGCATCCGCTCTAGGGCAGGCCGGGCGGTGGCCGCCAGTTGAACGTTGCTGCCTCGGCCGATGATCCACCTCCTCGAGACGCTAAAGCCGATGCGGATCCCAAGAAGCCACCGGCCTAGAGGAAGCAACCCCCCAAAAACCCAAAATAAAATGAAAGACCTTTTTCAAAGACGAGACACAGAGACACTCACCAATCACCACTCACCCACAGGAAGGCGAAGGAAGGAGTGGAGGAGCGGATGCAACCAACGACTGGCAAATCTCTTCAAAGTGCTGCTAGATACTAAATTAGATTTTCATTTATGATGATTCGGTTAACACATGAAAGCAAAAAACAAAGTTGTACTAAACTCTAGCGTACAGTTCGTAGTATGTTTAAGTTATTGCAATCGATTTTTGATTTTTATTATTATTATTATCATTATTATTATTATTTTTTGGTTATGTAGATGTTTTGCAATTTTACACACCCACACCTATTGTATATCGTATATCGTATATCGTATATTTGTTATTCTATGAGATTTTATATGGTGACTCCTTGGCGCACACTCACTAAAGCGCACACAACGCGACACTACACTACAAGACAAGACACACTACACTAGACTACACGACAGAAACACCAAACAAACAACATCTAATTATTTATAGAGAGAAAATATTTTTTACTCATTATACTTTGTGGCAATATTATTTTTACTACTTCCTGAAATTGTTTTCGAAATGTTACAAAAAAAGAGAAACAGCAAAACAATGCAAAGGTAAAAAAACTCATCATGTCTACGCGCAAAACTTAAATTATTTTTTAAATTATACATTTACATTATTTGAACTCAAAACAACACACAAAATTATTATTTATTCTCTATACACTTTTCAAAATTTCTCAAAACTCGTAGAGAGGAAATGGCGAAAGGCGACACACACGAAATTTAGTCATTTCTTTAACAAAAAAATTTATATTTTTGCACACGAGCAGGATCTCGTTTGTTTTGGCTTTAACAAATTTTATTTACTTTTAATTTTAATAACCAAATGATTTAATCATTTTAGCTTGTTTTTATTGACAAAGAAGAAGTGAAATGTTAACCATTGTTTATTTTTTAAATTATTTAAGTTGTGAAAGCGCTGCTTTTGTACGTAACAGTGAGATTGTATAAAAAGAAACCCACACACAAAAAAACTAAACCAATCAATTAACTAAGAAATTAATTTTACAAAATTTGCATTTTTTTAACGCAATAAAAATAAAAACAAAGTATTTAAGGCAAACAAAAAAAAAATAAAAAATTGATATGAGAATTAAATCTACGCTAAAACGCAACACAGCTTTATGCGCCAAACTAGAACTTTAAAAACAAATTTAACATAACGATCCATCGATCCTTGTCGAGGATACTTCTCGAGTTGTTTTTTGTAATATATATAAATATGGATCCAACATTTTTACTACTACCAATCGATCACTTGCAAGACGAAGATGAAGAGTTGTACGTACTAAAAACCAACTAAACCTTAAACTAAAAACTGTAGCAAAACCAAAACCATGTACATTTTTATAACATAGTGTTATATAATTATAAAGTATACAAATCTATATATATACATATAAATATAAACCTGTATCTAATATTAATGCATAATACACTCAAAAACAAATTGTCTACCTAACGGCACATAGCACAGCAACAAAAAAAACGATGCGCAGCGCATGTAAAACCAAAATAAATTCTAAGTACTAAAATATTGTAATTCATTAAGTTTTAAATAAATTAAAACCGAGATGAGTTGACGATCAAAAAAAGCTGGCAGAAAAATCAACAAGAGAACGAAAGCTTAACTAACAGTCGCAGCACTAATTAACTCGAACTCGAAAGAGCCACTGCATCCAAAGCCATGTGATCAGTGATCACAGAAGGTAGAGCACATTTTGTACACTACTTCTACCTTTCACATAACTCCCCCTTAACCCGATTTTAAAGCCTCGTGTCAATAATGATCACTGATCATAAAGCATGGCATTGGTAGGTGGCATCACGAAACTAATCACGATACGTACTAAATACTGACTAACTATTAGATCTTAGCCGCGAATCAACCAAAAACGAAGCCAGACAGCCACAACAGACACACACACACAGAACACACACGATCATAAGCAAGTGAGTAATTAGCAATTAAATGTAATTAAAGCGAAATTTATTATTATAATTATTACTATATATATAAATAGATATTACGACTATATATGTAAATGTACTTGCAATCTAAATTTACGTGACAAAAAATAGCAAATATTCGAGCAATATTTCAATTTAAAAAAAAAAAAAAATGGAACTATACATAAACAAAATAAAGTCCAACAACCAGTGTAGAAAGATTATGTACGAAAAAATGGATTGAGAAGGTCTTTTAAGCTTTCGGGGATAATTTATTCTTTGAGTTTAGGTTTTAAACTCTAAATATTACGTTTTGTATACATCAAATATTTAAAGAAGTACTTATAAAATCACGTAAAAGAATTTTGAGTTTATAGTTTAAAGGCTTAATTTCATTGTCTTATTTTGTAATATGATTTTTGAATTAAAGATATAAGACTTGACTGTGATTTCTATACCCTAGCAAGGGTTTTATATTTTTAGTCAGAAGCTGGTAAAACTGTGAAGGAGCCATTTCCGACCCCATAAACCCTATATATTCTTGATCAGCGTCAACAGCTGAGTCGATCTAGCCATTATTCGGTTGAAAAAAAATATTTTTCTCAATTTTTGTTTGATTTTTGCAAAAAAAGATAAGGGGTTACATCATTAAAACTGCCAAAAATCGACAAAATTTTTCATTATAAACTGAGTATGCAGTTTTATTGCCATTGTAATAACTAGCATAGGAAAGGTTTCCGAACTGAAATTAATGCATTTTTGGCTAAGTTATGACATTTTTAAATTTTGATTTATAGACAAAAATCTATCTATATAAAGAAGCATTGTCATTTTATCTCAACACCATTTTCACCTTGTCATTTTATCCGAGTTTATCTAGTAGAGACATCCTTAAAATCCTTTGCAATATTCTTTTGAAAATAAAAGTTATAGAGATTACAAAACAAATCCCCCACCCAAGATTTAAACACCTTATCCATTTGATCATTTTAGTTTATTTTAGTTGCTTTTGTTTTCTTTTTCTTTTTTTAATTACAATGAACGAATATTTTGAACACTATCACACTTTCAAAATGTTTTCTGTTTCTTTTTCCAATCATCTTTTGTAGTTTTGCGAGACACTTATTTAGTTTGCCTCTCGTTTCATTTGGTTTTTGGTTTTTCCTTTTTATTGTAATGCTGATTACACTCATATATATATATGTATATATCTTTATATATAATATAAGTTAGTTATATGTTTATGTATATGCCATAAATATTTTTTTTTACACGCACACTTTTGATCAAACGCAACCAAAAGTTGGCTTTTTTATAATTTTTTTGTATTTAAATTTTACCTTTCTTGTTTTTTATTATTTTGGTTTTAAATGCTCAATTTGTTGCTTGCATGTTGTATGTTTACCTAATTTAACCATTTGCCATGTTTTACTCGCTATATATTTTGTTATAGTGTATATAGATATACCTTTTATAACCCTTATAAATGCCCATAACTGTACTATATGTTTTCTATGGACTTGTGTGTGTGTGTTTCCCCCCACAACGACGAGCGTCTCCAAAAATTTCTTTATTGCGTACATTTGAAATGTCCTTTTCGCTTCACTTTGTGTGTGTGTGTGTTTTCAATACTCTAAAACACGAACTTCATTTTTGGGATAATAACGAGAAATCTAATATGTGTTTTTTTTGGGGGGTATTTTCAGGACATAAACTAACAATACTTGAGACGTTATAAAAAATTAAACAGATGGGATTATTATAAAGCCTCTACTTGGAAATTTTTCTGTGAGATTTTTCACTGATTTTCAAAAAAGTGTAACAATTTGTTGACCTATTATTCGTACACTCGTGTATTTACAAAAAACATTTCGGATGGGTTTAGGAATTACAAGTATACAATTTATGATACAAATATAATATTTTGATAGTTAAGTTTATAGTAAGACGTAAAACGTACGATAGTTATGTGGGAATTTTCTCATTACTAGTTTTTTTAAATATATTTTTTAATGCCTATAAGCTCAAATTTACAACTGATTATTCACTGATTTTTTCGCTGTGTATTCGCTCTATTATTTTGTAGAGATTTAGTGTTGTGTTCAGGTTGACTTTTTAAAACAGGAGGCAAAGAAGAGTATTACAAGTAGTAACTATTCAGGAGGAACTCAGAGGTTAAACAAAATGTGAATAGGTTTCTTAATATTGTGGCTGTTTTATAGTTTTATCCTTTACCTACACAGGTGGGCTCTTTTTTAATGCTTCGCTCTCTTTCGTACAACTTTGATTTTAATATCAGTGAAGAACTGAAGATTGTTTTCAGAGAGAGAGGAAAATCAACAAAAGTAAAATCCTCTAAAAATGTATCAAAATTGTACAAAAACCTCATTTTGCCTGGCTTTTTTCACACCTCTTTTCTTTACGTTTCTTTCTTTTAAAAATAAAGTAATGTTTGTTATTGTTTGTATTTTGTGTTTGCTTTTCTGCCTTCATATTTTTCTTTCATTGCGAAATTAAAGTAATTCTTTTATTGTTTGTATTGTTGCCACTATATTTTAATATAATAACTAACCCTCGCGCACACATATACATACATATATTATATATTATCTACATAGAGCAACATGCATCGTACTTAATACTTATGTACAAATAACACTCTCTCTCCGATCGATCGATATTACTTAAGCTTTAACGAGCAAGCATCCTGCGCGAGTATCCTTACTTTGAGTGCGAGACAACGGAGTGGGAGACCATCGAGTGGGAGAGCATTGAGTGGGACACACCAGAGATTTCCGCATAGGTATCCGTGGGTCCTTCGGCGCTGCACACCGAGTCCTCGGGCGTGCGCGATGGCTCCGCCTCGGTGATCTCAATGTCCTGGTGATGCTTGTTGCTGCGATGTTTGGCACTTAGAGCCTGAGAAAATTGAAAGTTTTAGATTAGTAAGTGTCCAGTTACCAAACTAAACAATGTCTAGTCTTTTTGCAGTGTGCATTCTGTTTTTATTAGTCTTTAATTATTTTTTTAGTAGACATGAAATGGTGCTATCTAGGGGACAACGGACACATGCACACAGCACAAACACTCAATTTTGGGATTAGTTTGGAAGGATTTTTGTTTGTGGTTTTTTAATGGGTCTAATTTGTTGATAGACAAACGTGCTTGGAAGACAGTTCTGGGAGTTTACACACAGTCACAACGACACACATAGAGTTTTTTAGGGGGTTTTTAGGGTTTTTAAGCTATTTGGCCGACAGTTCTTACCTTATCCTTGCTGCCCTTTTTCTACATTGAACATTTTGGTGGTTTTTGTATTTGTTTGGTTTTTTGTTTTTTTGGTTGTGGTGGTGGGATTCGAATATTTGTACATAGTCATGACAAGAACAATGATATTTATAGATGTATATTTAATATATATTAATATTAGTGGCATACAAAAATACTGAGCGTTAACAATTCAGAGGAGCGACAGAGTGTCCGCAGACGGAGATAGATTGGGGAAAGAAATATAGATCTAGGGAGCTTGGGATAGGTTTTTTGGTCTGAAGAGAGTCTTACAGCAACCTGAGCAAGGGGAGAGAATGAAATGAGGTCCTACTGCCCGGGTCCTTGATTACTCCCCCACTTCGAGGATCATGTCATGTACAGTGAGCACTATGAGCACTTGGTGGGACTACACGATTTGGGTCAGTTCATGGAACACTCACCTGCAAGGAGAAGCGACGATGACCCGCCTTGCGTCCGCCCCGTCGCTTACTGATGTGCGGATTATCCTGCCGCAGGGTCTTGTTTTTCAGTATCTCCAGTTGCGTGTACAGTCTGGAGAAGGATCAAAGAGAAGAATCATTCAGATGAGTCTTCAAGGGATCAAAGATTGAGGAGCTCTGAGCTGATTTTATAGCACTACACTCACCTTTTGAGTTCGGCACGTATGTCCTCGGGACTCATTTCGGATATGGTCAGCTCCCCAATGTCCGGATCGCCCAGACAGAGGCCGGCATAGCCACCGCCCAGCCGCTGGCCGGCATCGTGCGAGGTACCCTTGAAAGCATCCACAGGTAAACGTATTGATAGATCATACGCTAGCGAACGAACCTGCAAGCTATGAAGATGCAACAAACACCGCAAACCACACTCAAGGAAGTCGGAACTCAAAATGGAGAAACGGAAACGGAAATGGAAACATATATAGAAGAACTCAAGGTAAGAGAGAAGATGGATAGAGAGAGAGAGCTGTGCTTATGTAGATAGATGTCTTGTGTGTGCCTAGGGGCTGTGACTGTGTCTGTTGTGGTGCTGGAAATCAGAGAGAAAATAAATCAAAATAGGAACTTAAAATATGAATAAAGTTGGACGGACTTTAGCAGCTAGTTAGAAGGACTACTTAGACAGATAATTCAGTTTTTGTTGGGGGAATTATGTTAGTTAATATTCGAGAGAGAGAGTAACACAGAGACAGAGTGAGAAAACTAGTTTTGGTATGGGTTTTTTATTTATTTTTTTCTTAGAAAGGAAACCGATTTTTGTCATTAATTTATTGTTTATTAACTTTTTATTGTTACATGCAAAACTCAACACTAAAAACATGCAAATAAAAAACAGCGTGCATAATGTATAAAGTAAAAAATTAAACTATCTACGGCACGAGACACACTTGCAGCAACTTCATAGCTTGACTAAAGTTTCAATTCAATGTTAGCTTAAGACTAAATTTATGTTAATTTATTACTTAAACTTAGGGTAACCATAACCAAATGAAATTAAAGAACTTGTTTTTTTTGTATGTGGAAAAGCAACAAAGCTTTCCCCATTTGCTAGTTTATAGTTTAGTTTATATTAACACAAAAATCGTTTCCTCAATCAATGTGAATTAATACCAAATGCGGTTATCCAGGACGAAGACGAATGGCAATGATTTACAGCATATATATGGTATATATTAGTTATTTATCGGTATACATGTAATATCCTTTCTTTGGACGACACAAGTGAACAGGGAGCGACTAATATACCGCAACAATCTAAGCATATGTCTTAGCTTGATCCTAACCAAAACCAAAGCTCCAAAATAATACAAAGTAAATTAAGGAAAATAATACAAAAATGAACTGAAATCAAATGAAACCCTTAAGGGTTACCTGCTTGTGCTGATACCACAACTTTGGCACAAATATCAGACCCAAGGCGAAGCTGTTCGTCAACTGTGAGCGCACAAATAGAGCCAGCAAAATGGCGCTGGGACTCATTTCCGGCAGGTAGACGAAGCGCAGGAAGTAGAAGCTCGATGAGACCAGGAACTCCAGCGTCAAAGCGGTCACCAGGAATTGCCTTTCCTGTAAAAGGATACATCAGCAATATATGCATAAAGGATTTCCCCAATGAAACCCACCCGAAACTGAGTATTGGCATTCCGGCTGGCTATGGACAGATGGAGTCCAAAGCATAGGATGAGCATCTCGCTGGTCTGCGTGACCAGCTCCCACTTGAGCGGATGGCAGGTATTGGTGTCCGCCTCCCGCAGACTCTCCAGCTGGGCACTCTCCAGCAGATCCAGCGAGGAGGCCGTAAAGGCGGCCATATAGCAGATGACGGCAAACACCATCGTTCCCAGATACTTGAGCAGGTCCACATCGCGCAGAACCCAGCGATGAGCCTTCCTGGTGCGAAAGTCCACCAAATGGCGATATAGCTTCAGGATAATGGCGCCATAACAGGTGATGAAGCCCAGTTCGCGAAGCCAAGGCTCCAGGAGGCAACGTTCCGTGGAGGCGGGAAAGAAATGGACGGCAACCTGCCAGAATAAATGATAAATATATAAATAACATAAATGATTTAATTAAAGGAAGAGTGTCACTTACGGATGCATAAAGTAAAACAATGCCCAGCAGTATCGTCTCCAGCACAGTCCACATGCCCGAAGCAATGGCCTGTGGATTATTTTTCATATTTCTTTATTAAATTAATAATTATTATAATATATCAACTTTACCTTGCACTTCCTTTGCCTGAACACAATCACACTGAGAACCACACAGCATAGGATGCAGGCGCCCAGGACAATGGCCACCAGGAGCCGCAGGCAAGCGTCCATATTGAGCACCTCCTCCTCCTGATAGGTCAAGCACACGCCATTGTTATCGCAGTTCGAGCATCCCCCAGGACAGGGTATGCAAGAGTAGTTGTCATAGCCCTCGGACAGCTCCACCATATCGCCACGGAATCCTTGCAGAGTAGAATTGGGCAAATAATAGGATTCCCGGCATAGACAGGTATAAACATCTCTTGTGGCAGCTGGTTTATTCTCAGTGAGCAGGCAAAATGTTGTATTTCGATCGCAACTAAAAGAAGTTAAAAGCGAAATGTTATTTTAAATGGCCAACTGGTCGTATGCGTAATTTGTATTGTTTTCCTTTATAATTATTTTATATAAACTTTATATGCTTAATTTTCAGCCAGAAATCAAATCCATTAAGTTGTATTTATCTCCTATTTATTAGCACAAGTTTTTTTTGTTTAAAACTTACCCATGACGACGACCGAAAACTTCCTCCAGGCCATCATTGCACACATCCTCATCGGCGGCTATAAAAGCAGCAGCCACAATTCTGCAAAAGGATTACCATAAATAACGAATAAATAAATATATATCTATAGTATATATGGTATATATAGTTTGTGTGCTTAACTCACTTGATTCTATGCTCGCTGAAGGATATGCGAAAAGGCCAAAGCCAGCGACGCGTCAACAGGTTGCAGTCGCGAAAGGGAGCTCCCCATTCCTGCGTGCCATCCGTGCTGTTCCAGGCCGCACTGTAATAAAGAGGGAAAAACACTAGCATTATGGGCAAACTGCCAAGTTTAAGTAAAACTATTAAGAAGTATCAAAACCATTTAAGCCAAGCAATTGATAGCCTTTGAGCAGGGCAGAGACTCGGAAATGTATTGAATTTTAAAGGGTTCTCAGCTTACTACTCTTTTGTTTATTAAATTATAAGCTTCCTTAGCAAATTTGTAAAGTATATGTTATGTTATCTCAACAAATTCTTAAAATACAATAGAGAAATCTCCCCAAAACTCACCCCAACTCCCTCCAATAGGATCCCAAATACGCCTTATTATGCACCTGATCCGGTGGTATCTGCAAAATGTACAATGAAACGTTTGCCAGGAATTAGCACATGCACATGTAATATCCCATTTGATTAGCAAATGTAATGCATACCGTAACATTATCCCTGAATTTAACGACCACCGTGTGAATGCTGGGAGCGGCAATGGCAAAGGCCAGGAGATTGTCATCCTCGTTGAGGGCATAGCTGGCAATTCCATTCGCTTTGCGACTCACCTCCGCACGTGTCGGCTCATCGATGGTAATCGGTGTATTGGCATTCGGGAATTTATTCGATAAAAATTCAATAAACTGCCGGGCGGCATCCTCGGCGATGTCAGTAAAGTCGTAAAACTGTAAGAGAAAAAAAGAACCAAATCATTGAAAAACAGATCACAATTAATGTGCAGGATGAAAGGCATAAATAAATAATTTGAATGAGGAAGGGCATAAGAAATTTATTGCAGGGAAATTTAAAGGCTAGAAAATATAGGAAAAGTCATAGGAAAACAATGAAATTTACATGCACTCAGCATAAATTGAACATATAAAAATAAAAGTTAAAAATAAGGACATTACAATTAAATTGATGGGGAGTGGGAGTAAAAATTAAGTATACGCTTATTGAATTTTATTGTCTTAAAATAACCCTTAACAAAATCTTAGTAATCATTCCCCATGCAAAATTTAATTCATTTCCAATTAATTACCCCTTAAATTCCAACTAACAAAGATGTATAAATAAATAATTTAAATTACTGACAACGGCTCAATGAAGATTTGTGTGAATTACAGTGTGAATTTGGCAGAAATTACGTATACGCAACGGTTGGCTTGTGATTTAAGTGACCACTGAGCACATCTATATACGGAAGGACTTTTCCTCCCAACATTAATTATTCACCTGGCACACAGGACACGTTTCCGCGCGACACCTTTTCCGTTTTTTTTTTTTGTTTTTGCAACAAAAGAAAAGTTCTGTTTCGACTGGGAAATAATAGGATTTAATGTCCCCCCATCGGCGGCTACTGGGAATGTTTTTAATCCGAGTTTGCTCAGCTCTCCAGCGGAGACCACCGACCAAATGTTTGTACATAATTTACACGTTACAAGAAGCTCTCGAGATCGAGAACTGGGTGAGCTGGGGGGCAGGAGCAGCAGCTTTGATGACATCATTATGGCTTTGGGAAACAAAAGTAACCACAGCAGAAAGCAAACACAAAAGAGGGTAGCCCCTGTCTCTGGGTTGGGGTGACTCATGTAGTTCAGCTGGCAGCAGGCACCTTTTGGCTTTTAAAACAAATATTTCCCATTAGCACGGGGCACCCGATGATGAGCGACCACATTGCGTATACGCCACCGAAGCCCCAAATAAATTGCCAAACGGCGATAGACAAATGTTCTCTCTCTCCCTCTCTCTCTCTCTCTCTCTCTCTCTTTGTAGGTTATGCATATTTGTATGTAAATCTCCGCGCACAAATGAACATATCGAGGTGAAAGCAATCAGTGTAAGGTACAGATGAAACAGAACGAGCAAACCTATACGACCTACTCCCAGATAAAGCTATGATGGAGTGCGCTAAAACACTCGTATATATGCGGTGTGGCCATAATCACAAACGTGCTCTATACTCTTTCTTATTGGTGAAGCTGGACCAAAGGGCCTTGGTTAAATATTGAACAAATTGTGGGTGAATTTTTGGCAATTTTATGACCTGACCTTAAGCCTAAATCTCAAGTCAATTGAAAGTGTTTGTTTCGTAAAGTGTGCTCTATGTTTTCATTATCAAGGGGTTAAGTTCTGTTGCCTGTGAAAGATTTTAAGTTAGTTAAGGCTTAAACTTGGTAAATAACACTTTTCTAGAATGTGTTTAGTAGTACATATGATAGTTCTGCTTTTAAAATAAAGCGCTTTGCTTGAAATGGGGTTAAAAGAGATATATTTAACGAGTTTTCTCATTTAAAAATATCTTAAAACACCATTTAATGCCTGTTGATTTACTTTAACAAGAAGCTTTTGTTCTTAAATTCTCATTTATTTAATTTTTTGATATTTAAGTATTTTTCTTAATTTTAAAAACACATAACAACATGCCTCTACTAACACTTATACCCTCCTAAAGAGAAGCGAATGACTGTTAGGGTGAAAATGTATGTGGAAAACACTTGTAAATAGCGGCGGCAGCCACAAAACACACACCAAGTGTGTGTGCAATAAAACATGCATACTTGTGCAAACACACACTGTGAGTGTGTGTGTGTGTGTGTTTGTGAGTCTAGGCTCTTGGCATAGTTGTTGCTATGGAGGCTGGGAAATGAAATCAGTAAAGCGCGTTTTACTGGCTTTTTAATGTCCATTTTCCCCCCGCCCCGCAATTCCATCTGCATTTCCCGTTTGGCATGTACAAAATTCCTACTTATGACCATAAAAATATTTACATGGCGTAGCTGTAACTGTAACTGTAACCGTTGCCGTTACTTTAACAGGGTGTATGTGTGTGGCTGTTCTTCCTTATTGTCATTTGCATGTTTTTCCTTTTATTTTCTATGCTTTGTGCTTAATGAATAAAATATGTCAGACACTGTTTTCCTTTTGCCAGAGGTTTTCTTTTTGTTTTGCATTTTCCTTTTGGCTCAACTGCTGTTGACACTCACACACACCCACACGCACGCCAGACGACGGGGCCTTTCACTGACAGGCCGCACTGTACGCTTGCATTCATTACATTATTCAGAGCGACAAGACGAATGACATAAGCTGATTGCTACGGAAGTTTGCAGTTGCGAATGTGTGTGAGTGTGTGTACATGTGTGTGTGTTATCGGATTAACATAAATGATTCTGTTGAGTGGCAATGTTTTTTTAAATTTATTACTCTATAAATAATAAATATAGCAATGGCCAGCTTTGCTGGTCAACGAAATTAGTGTGTAACACATGTAAATGTAAATGTAGCAATTAATGGGGTTTTAAATATATTGTCTGGCCATAAGACTTGATTCCTAATTGGTTAGTCCTTTTTATATCATTGAAAAAAGGAAATTAACTTTAGACAGAAGCTTGTAAAACTGTGAAGAATTCATTTCCGTCCCTATAAATTATATATATTCTTGATCAGCATCAGCAGCTGAATCGATCTATCTATCTTCGGTTGAAAAAAAAATTTGAAAATTTTCTCGATTTTTGCAAAAAATGATAAGGGGTGACATCATTAAAATTGCCAAAAATCGACACAAATCTTAATTTTTTAACATTTTAAACTGAGTATGCAGTTTTATTGCCCTGGTAAAAAACAGCATAGGAAAGGTTTCCGAATTGAAATTAATGCATTTTTGGCCAAGTTATGAAATTTTTAAAATTTGATTTATAGACAAAATTGTCACATAAAATATGGATAAATATCGACTCATAGAATGGTATTCTAAGTTTAGTCTGAAGCTTCTAGAAATGTGAAGGACTGTTTCCCGAAAAACTGAGTATGCAGTTTTGTCGCCAGAATAAAAACGAACATAAGAAAGGTTTCTGAATTAAGTTTAGTAAATTTTTGACTTAGCTACGAATTTTTTAAAATTTGGTTTATAGACGAAATTGGCACATAAAGTATAGATAAATTTCGACCAAAAAATGGTATTCTAAGTTTAGTCAGAAGCTTGTAAAACTGTGAAGAATTCATTTCCGACCCTATAAATTATATATATTCTAGATCAGGATCAGCAGCTGAATCGATCTATTTATCTTCGGTTGAAAATAAAATTTTGAATATTTTCTCGATTTTTGCAAAAAACGATAAGGGGTTACATCATTAAAAATGCCAAAAATCGACAAAAATCTGAATTTTTTAACATTTTAAATTTAGTATGTAGATTTATTAACCTTCTAAAAACTAGCATAGGAAAGGTTTCCGAATTGAAATTAATAGATTTTTGGCTTAGTTATGATATTTTTAAACTTTGATATAAAGACAAAATTGTCTTATAAAAAAATTTATTTAAAAAATTCGAATATTTTAGGATAAGTTATGATCGAATTCGGATTCGAGTATCATTTTTCACAGCATAACCAGAAGAATTTTCCAGAGATTCATAAGATTTAGTCAATTTTTTAACAGATACCTCTTAAAGTAGCTTAAATCCGCAATATGCGTGTCCAGCATCGCACACAATAAGAATATACAAAACAAGTTATTATTAATAACTTTGCAGCTTCAACATTGTTAGGAAAACAGCACGCAGACACGCATAAAAATAAAAGGAAAAAACCAACAAAAAGGAGGAGAGCAAGGAGGAAGAGGAGGACAACTCCAGCTGGAAGCGTAACAAAAGTCGCCCCCAAGACAGCCAGGAGGAACAACAGAGGAACAACAGTGACAACAGCAACATGAGCAACAGGAGCGCCAAGGACAAGGCCCGACAGGCATTCAACAAGGACCAAAAAGGAGGAACAGGAACAGGAGAGAGGGAGACATACAAAAGCCAGGTTGATGGCTTATCCCGTGGCATTATCTGTCACATTTACTTATCATTATTTTGACCACACTCGAGATTCAAATCGATGGATGGATGCTACACGGCGATTTACCAGCTCCTGACTCCTGGCTCCTTGCTCCTGCTCCTGGCTCCTTTTCCTGATCCTTTTGTTGGCCCTTTAATTACGCCACGCTGTCGGGATTGCGTCAGAGGGGAATTTGTTGGGTAATCGATTCGAGCACGTCATGTATCGGACTCTGTTTACACCGCCGCCTCGTTGAATATTTATACGAAGCGATTCGCGTAGTTGGCTAAAAATAGCACACAACACAAACTGACAGCCGCCAGACGATGGGAGAAAGTCCTGCTGACTGAGCCTCAAGGTCCTTGGGCTGCGATTGTCATGCAGATTCAATTAAAATATTATGAAGAACGTAAGGAAAAAAATAAAAATAATTAAATTAATTCAATCAGAGTGTGTAGGCTCAGCTCAGCTCACTTCATTAGCATCTCTTAATTAACTTGTACGAGTGGCAGCTTCATAAAGTAAGGAAACTAGGCAGGAGACGGCACACATGAAAAGCTGTCAGGACATGCCGCAACTCTTTCCAAAATCTCGTGGTTTCTCTGTGTTGCTCACTCCTTCTTGTGTAAAACTTCCATCCCAAGATTTTTGCTTGCGTCAGCCATGGCGTATGCGTAATATTCTTATTTTTTACGACAATCAGCAAGGTGGGCGGCAGGCAAAGGATTTCAATTTTGCGCAAAGATTTGTGTCAGCATGAAGCCGACGAAGAGGGGAGAGTGGCAGAGGGGCAAGCACCTAATATATGAACAATATGTGGGCTGATATCTCAGCAATTTTATTGATTATTGCCCCTCTTGGCAATTTTGTAAATTGTCGTTAATTGTCTCTCTGGGCCTTGGATCGATGCGATGTGCAAGCTGCACTCGTTCTCACAAACTGTCCATCATAAGTTATGAAGGCGCAGTCGAAGGTGAACTCAGGCCACTCGGTATCCTTTTGATTGCCTGCAAACTTGAGTCACTAAAATTACGGTACGGTTTACTTATACCAATTGCACTAGGTATAAGTACTTCTCGTGACTGAAAGTTTTCAGCCATCCTTTCAGCTCGAAGTAGAAAATTATAGTGCAACATTCTGGCGCTGCTCTAAAGTTAAACAAATTGTGTAAACTTTTCAAAGTATAAGTATAATCGGGAGGAAACTATTTAAAGACTTGACTAAATGTTGAAAAATTTCTATTTTACTTTCTCGAATATTTGCAATTTGGAGATTAACTTGTGATGATTTAGTCAAGTTGTGTTTCAAGGGGTTTAGAGAAGCAAAGGAAGAAATATAAAGTATTTATTACTCAGCTATTTTAGTTTATTTTCCTGAAGATGAGATTTTAAAGTGTGGAAAATGGAATAAATAATAAATAGAAATGAAAAGATAATGAGACTATTACTTCTTGGTATTAAAAAAGAAAAGTTAAGTAAGTTAAGTTAAGTTAAGTTTGTGGTTCTTTACATTTATTTATTAAATAAAACTATTTAAAGATAAATAAGATATATACAATCCAATAAACTCTTCAAAAAGAAACCCTTTCATTCACTTACCGGTTCATCTGGCTGCGTTTCCAGGACTTTAGGCTCGCACTTCTCCTCCGGCTTTCCCTCCTCACTGCCACCAGACTTCGTCGATGATGTTGCACCTGCTCCCGATGCTGCAACCGATGCCGATGTTGTGGCAGCAACCGTTGTGGCTGGTGTTGTTGGTGTGGCGCTGCGCTTACGCAACCGCTCCGCTCGACTCAGTGCGGACACCACACTGACGGTGGGCGTTAGCTCGTCGAAATCGAGCCCGGATGCATCATGCAAATGATACTCTCGCTCCTGGGAGCTCCCATAGGTGGATGTGGAGGTGGAGGCCAGCATGCCGCCACTCGGTGGCGGTGGCGGTGCCAGGTGGGCTCGCTTGTAGTAGGCCAAAAGAGCATCGCGCCGGCTCTCGCGGGTATATGGCAAGGGATTTGGATTGGAGGCTGCGTTGGCGGTGGCAAGGCCGATTATCAAAAGCACCAGCAGCGAGTAGAGTGTGTTTAATTGTGTGCAGCAATTATTGTTGCCAAAGGAGATGTCGCTGCTGGAGCTGCTACTGTGGCTAGTGTTGCTTTGGCAACTTTTGTAGCTGCTTTTGCTGCTTTTGCTGCTGCTGCAGCTGTAAATAGTGTTGCTGCTGCTGCTTTTGTTACTGCTGCTTTTGTTGCTGCTGCTTTTGTTGCTATTGCTTTCCCTGATGTTGCTCTGGCCACTAAAGTTGCTGTTGCTTTTAAAGTTGCTGTTGCTTTTAAAGTTGCTGCTGCTATTAATGTTATTTTGTATGTTGCTATTAATGTTGCTATCAATATTGTTCCTTCTAGTTTTGCTGCTGCTTCTACTGCTCAAGTTTGATAATGTTGTATTGGAACCTTGTAATGTTAATGTTGCTCGTTGGTTTTCTAGTTGCTTTCTCAGGTGGTCTAGATCTCTGTGGCTGCTGCGGCTGCTGCTCTCGCTGTCGCTGTTGCTTGTGTAAGTGCTCTCTACCTGAGTACTGGTTTGATTTTGGTGGCATTTCTTTTGATAATTGCTAGTTTGCTGCTGCATTGAACTCTGAGCTGTTTCCTTTTTTGACTTTGTTGCTATGCACTGTTCCATATCACTGATGTTGCTCTCGTTTTTGGTTTTCTTGTCTTTGCTTTTGTTATTATTGTTTTGTCGAGAGAGTTGGAAAAAGTTGCTCGTCGTCGTCGTGGGTGTGGCAGCTTCGACAGGTGTAAAACGAAATTGTGGCACAGTGGCGCGCTCATCTGCGAAAATTAGAAAAGTTTTGTTTGTTATGTTGCTGCGGCTTAACTGGAAAATGCATACACATATATACAAAGTTTTTCAAAAAACAAGCGAGAAAACAACACAGCTTGGCCATACTTTTAATTAAATTTCTCGTTGGCCATATAATCAATAAATAACTAACTTTCCGCAAAATAAACCAATAGAAAATAAGAAACTAATCGAAGTTTTTATACCCATGGAGTTTCATCATTAAAATCATCATAAATAAGCCAAAAATTAAGTAATTTCAATTCAGAAACCTTTCCTATGCTAGTTTACTCAATTAAAAACGAAAAATTTAGCCAATTTTTAACTTATCTTTTTTTGCAAAATTCGAAAAATCAAAAATAGATCATCAACAGCTGATCAAGAATATATATGATTTATGGGATCGGAAATGACTAAAAGTAGAAAACGCTAAAACAGTACAAAAATAAAATCATATTTTTAACCTTATTCTAAGATACTTTTGATTTCAAATAACATTTTTCCAACATAAATTCTCATTCATTTCATATTTCTTTAAACCCTGCATTTACTTTCCTCTGCAAAAATGAACCAATTAAATCGAATATAAACATTTGCTAAAAAGGACAGTTTCAATTACTCTGCAAATATTTGTGGTCACATATTTTTAAGCCCGGTTGCAGTTTCATGTTCAATTAGGTTTTGGTTGCATTTCATTTAAAAACAAACAAATTGGATTCATTTAAAGCACCACCACTAAACACACTCCACCAGAATTATAGAATGACGACTAAAATCAAAAGCCACTTTGGCGTATCGCCACCGCGAAATGGCATTTTTTATGGCAATTGGAATTTAATTGAGAAACCTGAACAAACAGTTGACGATGACGTTGGCAGAATGTGACGGCATTAAATCAAAATTGAATGGATTTAATTAAGAAGAGAGGGAAATACTCTACATAAGTTAAGTGAATAAAATAATAGAACCATTTTATGAAGTTTTTACAGAGATATTTCTTCTGGCACCTCTGGGTTTTTGACGAATACTACATTTACTTTAACTAAATAATTTTAGTAATTTTCTATCTATATTAATTTTCTTCTATCTTCATTTAAATCTAGTTAAGATAGCACTTCTAGAAACTCACTCTTCTAGCAAATCTACGCTAACTGTGTCTGCAATTAAACCATTTAAAATAGCTCCGATCAAATGTGACTCTCCAGTGGCCACTCCCAGACATGCAGAGCAGTTTCAACCAGGATTTTCCCTGGCCAGCTATGAGGTCCTTCCAAACCCAACCCATCCCATCCGAATCCAATTCCATTCAATCCATTCCCCAGAGATTGGGCGTGGCTCTTGCTGCACTCAAGTGTCGCGCTATAATTTTCTTGTTCTCGAGTTCTCACTGTTTTTTACAATTTTGATTTATGAATTTGCCATTTTCCCAAAGAGAGAGGGAGTGCTCGACTTTATACCCTCCAATATGGGACGATGACAGGCCGCAAATTGGCCAAGCGATTTGGACAACTGCAACAACTGTGCTGGAAGGCAAACAGGTGTAAAAACAATTTCCGCTAATTGAAATTAATTTTCATGGCTGCAACTGCATGGCGATGGAGGGAGACATTTTCACGGAGGGAGTGGAGGGCAGAGGAGGTCGGATTTTGCAGGAAGCGAAGGTGTAAGTCAGCAATAGTTGGCACATGCGCCATAAACAAGTTGTGATTACGTGATTTGGCCAAATGCCAGAGCAGCCATAGGTAGCAGAGGCCATACAGCCGGATGCTGTGCCAATGAACGGAGAAAAATATTCTCAAATGGACATTTAAGGTAATTTAATCGAGGATTTCGGTGGGATTTTATGGCATCATTATGAGATGTCTATGACTGTTTATAGAATGTTTATTTATGTGTTTTTAATTGTATAATTTTTATGGCCTATTAAGCAGGAGAAATACGAAAATTACAAGATACTGGTATCAGAAAATAATATATATAATACCTGAAAGGGAAGACATATGTGAAAAAGGAATTTAGAACAAAATAAATTAGTTTCGGATATCAAAATAATATAATATATTTAATATATGTATGTTGATGTTTGTTTGAAATATATATCCTTTCTCTATTCCCTATTTAAATCGTTTCATTCTTTGTTTATTTATATGGGAAGAATTATTTTGTCCAGTTTTAACTATTCATTAGTTTTAGATAAATTTGATTCCAATTTTTATGAATTTAAAACTTTCAAGAACCATAAAAGATATTATTTGTATGGGTAGTATTATTTTGTCCAGTATTAACTATTCATTAGTTTTATATAAATTTGATACCAATTTTTATAAATTTAAAGCTTTCAAAGAATCATAAAAAATACCCAAGCAAAGATTTATCATTTATTTATGATCCTAATGATTTTATAACTTTTAAAGGAGAACACAGTTTTATGGATTTTTAGACCACTTTTAATGTTTTAAATGATTTTTCTATCTCCCAAAGAATGTTCTTAGTTATACCCAAACATAAAGTATTTGATACCCCTAAAAACCCATTCTTTTTTCAGTGTTTTCAGATAACTGCTGCTAAGCTCTTGTGTTGGCAGTGCCTAGTATTTTTTTCGCCCTGTTTTTTGTTTTTTTTTCCACCATGTTGTTGCCTGTTTTCTGCCTGGCTGAGCTCACCTGGCCTCACCTTGACACTCGCTCAACTGCAGCTAATGCGGCAGGGATGCGAGCAGGTATCTTCTGCCTCTGGATATGTGTATCTGTATCTGGTATCTAGTATCTGGTATCTGGTATCTGGCACCTGCTTTCGGGACATTCTGTGTTTCAATTAACCAGATTTTGGCTGCAAGCTGCTAGCTTGTCGTGTTCAACTAACTGTCTTGTCGTGTGCCAGTTTGTTGGCTGTCACCTGAAAGTTGCATGTTTTGCAGTTTGGCCACAAATACAAACAACATAGGACACAAATCGCACAAAACTGAATATCACAAATCACAATTCGTTTGCCCAACGGCCACATTTCAATCCCCAAAATTGGATTTGTTGAGGTGGCTGTCAGGCTTTTCTGTATTTATCACTCTGACAACTTTCAGTATGCAAATTTCATGGAGAGAGATTCAGATTCGGTCATTTGTCCAACTGTTGAATATTCATATACATATATTTATCCGGCCAATATTTTATGTTCCCCTTTCCCCTGCCTCTTTGCAAAATTGTGATAAAATATGGTTGGGCGGAAACAGATCCATTCCTAAGCGGATTGCAATTTAATGGAAAATGCTTTAATAAACATGTCTGTTGCTATGGACAATGTTCAAATAAAGGCATTTACGCCTTGCAGGATTTAATAATGCATATGCAATCCGTTCACTTAATAAATCAAATGCAAATAAATTGGTTCGGAGTAAACACAATTTGGAATTTACTAGGAAATCCTCTTTGGAAATTTTGTGAAGCATAAAGTAGATATTCGTTGATTGGATTCAGTGCGAAGGAATGAAGAAAACAATGTTGCATGCATAAATTTCCACATAAATTGATAAAAAAGTCTTCTTAAATAACAATTCTGTATGAATCCTTTAAAATCTAGTTAATAAAGTCTTTTGAAGGTGTGCAAAATCATTCGATTATTTCATTTCCATCACAGAGAGTATTATGAAACCGATAAGAGCTGAAATCAAATTAAGGACTTTTGGGTAACTAAAGTGGATTAGAATATGAAACAATGGGTGTGAGTGTGTGTGTGTGTGTGCTGCAGGATATGCGGTTGTCAGTTCATCAATGGGAGAAGAAGATGAATCCTGAGGCGTGTCCCGACATCGAAAGTAATGTCTTCTGGCCCCCGTGGCAACATAATGAGCTAAAAATAGCAAGGTCCTGGCGGCAGGACGAGACACTGGGGCATGTGTGAGTGGCAGAGACAAGAGGCAAGGGCGCTTTCATTAGACAAATGTTATTTCGCACACACACACATAGTTGCTTAAAGAGAGACAAAGCTCGGGCGTGAAACAATCAAACAATGCAACAAAGGACGAAACACACACACATACACCAAATAGTTAACAATTAAACAATGCGAGAGCAACAAGCAACAGCAATTGCAGAAGAACAAGGAGAGAGAGTAAGAGAGTGAGAGGCACAATAATAAGGAGTGCCGCTGACAGGCTCGAGGACAAATTGTTTGCCGGTCTCGCAGCATTCCATTGTCCTTAAAGCAAGCAGCTCAAGCAGCTGCGCTCCTAAAGCCACCCAAAAAAGGACCTTTTCCTCCAAAACGAAAAGCCAACAAATCAGACAACATCGCTGGAAATCGCTTTCCCCTTGTGCCTTTGTCGGAACATTTTCGGCTAAAAGCTTCGAGTGCCAGTCCCAAAACACTTTTCCAATTAGGCTTTTTCCTAGACATATTCTTTGCGCATATTTATACAGATACAGTGTGTACATAAATACAGTGGATGCTCTTGAGTTTAGGTTTTTTAAGGTTTAAAGAAACAATATTTAAGTAAGTTTCGTAATCATTAAAAGTTCAGGTAAGACTTAAGACTCCTTGAAAGTATAATATTGTAGATATCTCGTTTCAAAGATTTACATATATTAATTATTTGGTAAAATTATACATATTTATATAATTTCTGAGTAACCTGGAACTATTTTTCTAATTTATTGAAGCTCTTGTTTCACTTCTCCAAAATTCCTAAACATATCTTATTACATTTGTTAAGTATCCTGAATATTTATACTGTTTATCAATTGAATACTGATAGGAAAGTGATGTCTTTCTTCTGTAATGAAAAGCCTGCTGCTTCTTTTGTCTATCATATTTTAAACTTATTCTTTAAAAAGCTATTCAAAAAGATATATCATTTTAAGATATAACTAAACAATCTTCCCTTAAACCCTTTTAATAATATATTCCTTGTAAAAATCTATCTCAAATCTTATTCGTAAAACCCCATTCTTAACTTCTACCTAGTTTCCTTGGCATTTCCTGGCCAACCTTCCTGTCGAGTACATTAAATACACATTCCCTTAATTCCAATTCAAATTAAATTATATGCAAATTCTAATTTCGCCAGCTAGCACTGTATAATGAAGGGGAGAAAGTTAGGAATAAAATACAGCAAAAAGGAAGAGACAGCACTGTAATGGCAGCGCTATTCTTTTTGTATTTTTTTTGGCAGGGAGTGGTGGGTGTAAAACCCTTACAAGGACGCGGACATTGTTGTACAACAATTATTTTAATCACTTTTCAGGGTCTGGCGCCGCACTTTGTTGTTCTTTGGCATGGCCCAGTTTTTCCATTTTCCTAGTTATTTTTTCTCAATTTTTGGGGGGCAGGAGCCTGTTTACATGCGCAATTTACTCAAGTGCTGCGAGTGTTTATATCATTAAAAGCAGGACCATGTTGGAGTTTTTTAAATAGACTTCTATCTATCCTAGTAGATCTTCTTGTTCTTTTTTATTATGCTTAAAATAAAAAGTAAAAAGTGGCTATGTAAAAATATAGTTTAAGATCTACGAAAGCATCTTGTCAGCACATATTTCTTCCAGCCAATTTCATTCTTGTCATCTTTCTAATAATAAATGTTACCCAAAAATTAGTAAAAATAACCATATGTTGGGGGGGGCTTTCCTCTTTTCCTGTTGTTTTTTTTATTTTTTAACGATTATTCAACATCCATCCCTCTCTCTCTCTCTCTCTCGGGCGGATGTGCGGGCGGCGTCTCATATATTTATATGGAAACACAAGTATACGCCTTTATAGAGACAAGCGGCTCTTTGGCCGTAATCTACTTGGCCTACTTGGGCTAAGTGCGCTTTTAGATAAAGTCGCTGCCGAGTCCGCTTGGCACGCACAAGCGGAAAAGGAAAATGGTTGCAGGGGGGGTTGGCTTGGAAAATAGGCAATGCCGAGTCGGGCTTTTCCGGCTAAGGTTCACTTCAAAATGTCGAAGGCCTCTCTCTCTGTGTGTGTGTGTGGGTGCGCCTAATGTTATGCTACGGCATAATTTGTTGCTTGAAGTGAAAAATTGTCAAGCACACTCAACGTTTATATACACCAACAACAACAACAACAACAAAAAATTGAACTTTTAGAGGTCATAGCATTTTATTAGCTTTGTTGTTGGCCTTAACAGGAAAGGCTCAAAGGAAGCCGGGAAGAGAGGGGGTTACATAGTGGCATGTAGGAATATTTAGTACATAAAAAATATATACAAAATAAGTAAAACAATTTAGAATCTTAGTGGGTCTTATTGGATAATTAAATTATAGCAGTTCAGAGAGTAGTTTTGAAACAAGTTCAGCATTTTTAAAATAAAATAATATTTCCTTTACTAATCAAAGTTTTAAAATATCATAACCAAAAATGCATTAATTTTGATTCGGAAAGCGTTTTTATTTTAGTTTTTGTTGGCCTAACAAATCTGCATACTCAAAATAACATTGTACAAAATTTAAATTTTTGCAAATTTTCGAACATTTTAATGGTGGAACCCCTTATCATTTTTTGATTTTTCAAAAATTTTATTTCAACCAGATATAGTTAGATCGATTCAGCTGTTGATGCTGATCAAGAATATATATAATTTATGGGTTCGGAAATGACTCCTTCACAGTTTTACAAGCTTCTGATTAAACTTAGAATACCCTTACATGGGTATATAGTTTATAAAAAAATACCTTAAAACTCTTAATAATTTTTGAAATCCTACAATTTCCCAGAGCTTTCCCACTGTCTGTTGGAGTGCCAACAAAATCTTTGGCCACATTTTCCTGTTTATTTCGCTTGAAAGAGCGTGAAAAAAAGTGACGCTCCGATTGATGTTTCGATTGCTATTTACAAACAACGCTTCTTCCATTTTCGCCTCGCTCTGCCCTCTCTAACACACAAAAGTTCAAATTTCACTTGATTTTATTTCGATTTATTCCACTTGTGCAATGTCCTGTCCCTCGCCAGATCCATCCTGGGTGGCTCATGCCTGCCTGGCTGCCTGGCCATTATTCCGGGCGTAGCGGAGCTCTGTGTACAACATGCATTCAATATGTGTATCTAAAGTGCAGTCAAGCGGCAACAGAACATGGAAAAGCGTGGTAGGAGGAAAACGAATCACGGGGGAAAGTCCTTTTCCACATTTTCCACTTTCCCCTCCCACCCAACCAACACTCTCAGCTGTTGTCATTTGAGGCTGACAACCATGGCAATGGCTGCTTCAGGGCCCCAAGATTTAAAGGCCATATTTAATTGCATAAGATTTACCAGAACATAAATAATCTCGGTCTCTCTCGTCGCAGGATACGTGGCTATTATGCAGGACAATGGAGGTCTCGATGACCCCCAATATCAATGGCTGAGATTGCCATCGAGGTGAGTGTGAGTAAACAAATTTGCTTAATTTTAAGTGCAGGGCCAACGAGCTACAGTTTGCTTGTCAAGATTAAGTCCGCAGATTGTGTGACAAAGGCATATATACTTAACATAGTATGTACGAGTGAGTGATATTAAGTGCTGCCTTTGGTCATGTGTGAAAATAATTTAATAACATTATTGGCAGCCTTTGGAAAATTAGCCCAAAGGCAAATGCTTGATTTATGAGGCGATAATCAAATTTGGTCTTGTTTTCCCCTGAAGCCAAAAGGTGTTAAGTTGAATTTATGGTTGGATTTAATTTTAAAAAATTGTACATATAATTAGCATTTTAAATATTGGTTGTCTTAATAATAAATGTGTTTTAAGAAGCTTTAATAAGTGTTTGATTTGTATTTTATAACGTGGATAGCTTGGTTATGTATCATTTTAACAAAGAACAATATATAGAGAGCACTTTTTAGTATTTACGAATAGTATTAGTATTATTTTTACATATTTATATAAAATATACCCTATATTATCTCCCCTAAACTACCTGAAAACTATTTTATGAAGTCTTCTACTAATATAATCCCTACAACTGTTGACTCTTTACTTTATTCTAATCCTTACTCAATGTTTTTCCTCCTTCCCTGTGTTATATCGAAATTAAATCCATGCAATACCAACACACAATTTACGATGCCAGACTAATTAGTTTCTCTCTCTACACTTTGGTCTTTTTCTTTCAATGATTCCTTAGACTTTTGCCAAACTTTTCTCGCACTTCCTTAATCCCCGGGCATTTGTTTTAAGAAACATCCAGAGCAACAGGCATCATCACATCATTCCATCCCCGGATGACTCCGGGTGGGGGCAAGGACAATAAGGCCAACTTCCGCGGTCCGGCCAAAGCCATAGCAGGCGTGGCACCACATAAAAAGCGCCATAAAAAAAGGAAAACAGTATAAAGCGGAGACTAGAGCGCACATAAAACCGAACGAACGAACAATTGCCAAAAATCAAATGTGACAACTTTTACCAAAATTAAAATCAGCAGCAAAAGTGAGGCCAGAAACAGAGCCGTGGATGGCAGGACATAAAGGAGGCGATGGGTGGGTGGCAAGTTGGCTGGAAAAACTGGATGAAACTGTGTTCGAAGCGGGCGAAGGGACGATGAATGACGGCGAGTGACTCCGGAGTCCAACCCGAGCCCGAATCATTGATGCCAAGCGGAAATGTGCGCACTTTCAAGAAGTGCACTAAAAATGGCGACGAGCACTTCCGCTGATGGTTCGTCGGGCCGAAGATGGGCACTGTTCTGCTTCTCCGGCACAGTGAGCACAAAAAGTATTGCAAAAAAGAATCGAGGCCAGGACGGACAACTTTTTTGGCGTCAATAAAAACAAACTGTGCAAACTATGAAACTAATATTGATGGCTTAAAGCGAGTTGATAGCTCAGGTAGAGAAAACTCCACCTTTTAGGAAAGAGTAAACAAGAACTGATAAATATTAAATGCTAAAAGAGATAAAAACAAATGTAGGAGGAGAATTTTATTTTTAACATGTACACTCACAAACTCTAAAATAATAAGATTACCGGAAATGATACTAATATTTGACAGAATCTGGATGTATTCCAGGGAATCCCGGATCATTTTCTGAATGACATTTTAAGCATGCAGGAGTTACTTTGTTACAACACCTTGCATGACGTCCTGCATTTAACAATTTAAAGTTTGAAATCATTAAAATAGCCAGAAGATAGAAAGTTTCTTTAATAAGTTTCATTTTCCGTGTTCTTATGTCTGAGAATGTATTTGCATTACAGCTCCTCCAGGTACAGGTGAAGTATATTAACTAAAAAAGAGGTCACCATTTAAACAGAATTTCTAACAACGTTGACTAATTCATTTTGAACTGGATAATATACTTTATTGCAAATTTAGCAATTTAAGAATAACACAATTCGTTTCACTAAATCACAATTATGCTTAGAGTATGATTAGAGTACGAACTGAATTGTGATTTAAAACATCCACACAGTAAGATCAATAGTCGAGAAGGAAGAGCTCAAGGCTGATTTGAGTTGGCATTTTTTTTACTATTTACAGATTTGAAGGTTCAAAAACAATATCAACAAGAAAATAGAATAGCTGCGGAAACCCTAAGTTTATATACCCTTGGAGTTCGCAATTGATTTATATGATATAGGGGATTGATAGATCGATTCAGCTGTTGATGCTGATCAAGAATATATAGTTTTACAGTTTTACAAGCATCTGAATAAAACCCTTAAACAAAAAATAACAAATTAATTTCATTTTAAACTATTTCAGGACCTAAAGTACGATGATAATGGAGCTGCAACTGAACCACTGTGAAATGGAGACCCGAGACAGCAACCGAGACTGACCCTTGGAGGAGCTCCTTCTATTTTCCCGGCCACTCCCACACACTTAAGGCCGGGTGAAGGAGTAGAAAGCGGAGCTGGGTCAGAACAAATGTTCGCATGAAAGTTGAATGATGGCTGCAAGCCAAAGCCAGAATGGAAATCACGAACGCAGCACGGACACTAAAGAGGAATCGCGCTTGCTGGCCATGTCCGAGTGGAGACCCGGGAAAGGGGTTGCTGGTTGCTGGTTGCTGGTTGCTGGGGGCAGGATGTTGTCGGGTATGTAAACAAGCGACGTTTCACAAGTAATTTGAAATTGCATTTAAAGTGCCTTAAATGCTTGACATTAGTCGACGGGGGACCGGGAACTGGGAACGGACTTCATTAGCGCAGTTTTTGTGCACAACATGGCGTATGATTAATATGACGAGTAGTATACGAGCCAGTAATGAACTTAACATAATCTTTAGCCCATCACGGGCATCACGGCATCCTTCCTGGACATTCATGGGCGGTGGCTAATTGTTTTCAGCTCCGAGAGAGAGAGAGAGAGAGAGAGAGCTGTTGCATAACAGCAGCTCCGGAACATTAGGAAGCCCGGAATCAGTTGAGCAGAAAACGGAAATACAGGATGAAGGAGTGAGGAGTGAGGAGTGAGACACCAGCGTTTGGCCTGGAAACGGGCAATAAAATTTCGGTCAAAACGCCAAGGCAAAAGGAGGCATATAGATAAGCGTCAAACAGTTCACACATTTCCATGCCATGCCCTGTCCCCTCTCTGGAAGTTCGCTCAGGCGTGAATATTAAACGTTTTGCTTAGAAATGCTACTACCAACATCCTTCGTTCGCCAGCAGTTCCATCCCTCGGAAAAAGCAAGAAAAAAAAAGAAAATAATAAAACCCATTTCCATCCCCGCAACTTCATGTCCAGGCGACATGTTTGGGCAAACTTTTGCGGGAAAAGTTCTTTCTCTCTGGCAGAAAGTTGGCCCAGTTGGATGGAATGGAAATATGAAGCCGGTAGAGACTCTGGAGGAGCAGATATGTGTCCTGGGAGGCAAGTTGCAGATAGCTTTAGTTTGGTTAAGCAACGAGCTGGAAGATCGCCGGCCAGCAATTACATCAGTTCATAGTGAATTCAATTTCCGGGAAATTATGCTGGAGTAGCTACCAGGAAAATTGTGTTATATATAACTTTGGTTACGCTTCTTCCAACATTTAAATAAATAACTTGATATCCTTTCGAAATTGTGGTAAATATTTTATAAACAAATTAACTTAAGACAGTTTACCAGAAACTGTTATTTATTCTGTTTTCTTTAATTAAAATTTTAAGACATTTTCGGTATGATGTTGAGTGGATTTTTCCGTTTCCACAAGCTCTCTCTAATTTTAATTGAAGATTTCAGGAAAATTTAATTCAAAGCCCTTAAAGTTTATTATTTTCCGGGAACACGCCCAACCTGTACAACTTTCTGGGGTTGGTTTATACCCCACACACGCACCCACAACATTCCCAAACACATTTCACTGGCCAAAAATTTGAGGCTTTAATACGAAAGAGGATTCGGCGAGGCCTCTTTTGATCTTTGCAGCGTAATAATTCCACTTTGAGCGTGTCCTTGCAAAGGTCCCTTTACTCTCAAGAAAATAAAGCAGTCTTTAAATCGCAAATCGAGTCGATCGGCGCATGGAATGCATATAGCCACCGTTATGCATTAATATGCAAGGCACGCAGCACATCATTAGTGAAGGGTGGTGACGAAAACGGGCGCCAGGCTCAGGCTCAGGCTCAGGCTCCAACACAGGCACAGGACATCGGTGGGAAAGTGTGTGTGTGTGTGTGGAAGTGTGGGCGTGGTGAGTCAACATAATGAATTATGCCACGCCTAACGATGCCGCCACACAGCAGCCAGCATAGCCCGGCACAGAAATCCAATAAAAATTCAATAAATTCCCCACAATTCCACGACCACAGTTGCGGTCAACTAAAATAGTAGACATTGTGAAAATAAGTATTGTGTTGGGAAAATAAATATTTTGGAGTTTTTGTATGCTTAAATAATTTGAGAAATTTACAGCATATATATTCAAAGCCTTAACTATGATGAGTAAATAGGTATGAGCAGTGAGTAACTCTGAACAGTAAGTAACTATGATCAGTAATTAACTATTCTTATTAACTAACTACGATCAGTAAGAATCTATGACCAGTAAGTATGTATGATCAGTTACTAACTTTGAACACTAATAAACAATGACTTGCTACTTTTGAAACAACACATTTCCGATACGTGGCCGGCAGCAGTCACTTCGTTCCGGGGATGTTAGAACTAGTTGGGAATCATATGATATGATGATATGATAACTATGACCAGTAATTAACTATGAGCAGTAAGTAACTCTGAACACTAAGTATCTATGAGCAATAAGGGACTATGATCAGTAAGAGTCTATAATCAGTAATTAAGTATGAGCAGTAAGTATCTATGACCAGTTAGTATACATATATGATCAGTTAATAACTTTGAACACTAATAAACAATGACTTGCAACTTTTGAAACACAACACATTTCTAAGTCGTGGCCGGCAGCAATCACTTCGTTCCGGGGATGTTTGAACTAGTTGGGAATTATATGATATGATGATATGATAACTATGAACAGTAAGTATCTATGACCAGTAATTAACTCTGAACACTAAGTATCTATGAACATTAAGTAATTAACTATTCTTATTAAGTAACTATGATCAGTAAGTAAGTATATATGACCAGTAAATAACTCTGAACAGTAAGTATTTATGACCATTTAGTATCAGCTACTAACTTTGAACACTAATAAACAATGACTTGCAACTTTTGTAACACAACACATTTCTAAGTCGTGGCCGGCAGCAATCACTTCGTTCCGCGGATGTTAGAACCAGTTGGGAATCATATGCACAGATGTGCGAGATTTGTTTTGGAAGAAATTATCATTATTTGAATGAAAATATGGAGTTATTCTTCTATAAAATTTTACTAGTATATAAGTCGGAGCATGGCGAATCGGTTGACTATATATACATATATATAGCTACCATAGGAACGATCGGAAAAGTTTAAGAAAAAATAATAATGACTTTTTCATTTTTCAACAGATTTTCATCAAATTTTATATATACCCAATTTATATAAATATAGAATTTTGAGTTAAATCTTATTGAAATCGAACTACTATATCATATAGCTGCCATACAAACGATCGTTAAAAATGAAATGAAAGCAGGCATTACTTTATTGTTTTTTAACATCAATAGTTAGCTTTTTTACTTGTAGTACCTATTATCCCTTCCGCACCTGTATATCCTGTACAGGGATACGATAAGGCTGGAAATGTGAATGAAATAAGCGAGCAGTGAGAGGTGTGTTGAGGAATTGCACGTGGAGAAGGAGTCCTGACTCGAAACCCTCCCATAACAAAAGCCGCCATAAGTCCGAGCAGAAAGGAAATATAAGACAGAACAAAAATACACATAATTTACTTTTCAATTTTCCTGGCAGTGTGGGCGGAGAAGGACACGAAGTAGGTGTATTTGGTTGTGTCTGCGTGAGCGGCGCCTATAAATAGACAATGGGACTGGCAAATGCCAAAAGCGACAACCGGAAGTCGCTGGAGCCGATGATATATGGTTGAGAATTAAGGGAGTGCGCAGGCCAAAAGGCGGGGTTCCTTGCAAGAAAACCAACTACTTAGTCCTGACAGTCCTGAATTGAAAATAAACATGGAAAAAATATAAAATAAATGAGGACCAACCTTTGGAACATAACTCATATTGAGATAAATAAAGAACATTTAAATATAATATGACACAGAATATATATAAAAAACTAATCAATTTAATCAGAATAAAAAGAGGTCCATAAGCTCAAGTTATAATTTAAAGATTAAATAAATGCTTCTAGAGAAAATGCTACCCTTACTTTTCACGACTCTGCCTACTCCATGATGCATATTAATCACCAAATAAAGAACACATCCAGGATTGGCTACGCACTATCTGGGACCCAAACTATTAAGATTATATCTTCATCCACAAGCCATAAAGACCTTCTATCCTTTCCGTTTCCCTTTGACCGCTCAATATTAAATTTCATAAAAATTGTGCGTGCCTATTTCCGTTCTCCAGAGCTCCATAGCTCCATGGCTCCATCCTCCTGCTGTCCCGACGCCATCTGCTGCCTCGTAATTAATTTACGACAAAAATAGGGTTAATATCGCACAGGACACAGAGCAGGACGAGCGACTGTGTGCCAGTGGAAACGATGGCCCACAAGATGGCCTGCCCCTTCGCATCCGGTTCGTATCGGAGACGGGAGCTGTGCCCGCTCTCCCCCGCTCCCCCGCTCCTGTCAACACAGTCATCAACTGACTGTCGCTCAAATTGCTGTCACTGCTGCGGACGTGGAGGTGGATGCGGTGGATCTGGAAGCGGATGCGAGGGCCAAGGCGAACGCTGAGCGGTGGATGCGGTCGCGAACCTTTTTTTTTGTGTCCTCCCTTTTATTTTTCGAGATGCCTTCAGGCAAATGATGCCTATTTGATCGGGGCCAAAGGATAAACAAAACGGGCGAGCAGGGCAACGCAGCAAAAAGAAAATGGTAAAGAAGGTCTTTGGACTGGGTAATACCCAGTATTTGGTTTAGAATTATCAATATTTTAGAAATATAAAGAAGAAATAAGATTGAAACTTTTTTTCTTAAAATAGAAACCAAAAATTGAAGGAAAACCTCATAAGACTAAATAAATAACTTCAATCTTAAAATGTGGAGATTTCTATTAGGTAATATAAATACGTTACCAATTTTTGGTTATATGTAACCAATTGATTAAAAATTTCATAATTTTTTTAAATTTATTATTTTAATAATAGGTTTTTGGTATTTTAAATGTATGTCCTTTTGTGAAATTAAGCGTTGTTTAAAACTGTAAATTAGCATAAAGAGATTTTGAGTAGAGATTTCAGTGGCACCCCTTTATATGTTATATTTGCAAGGATATAGATAAAAAGAAATAAACTTTAAAAAACGTACATTTCCATGAGTTTTAAATCAGGACATACCCCTTGAGAAGCTCAACTAAAGAGTACAAAAGTGAGGCTCGAAATAAAATGAGAAAACATTAAGCGAACTCAGAAAGGCAAGCAAGGGCATACGATTTAAGCGTCCTTTTGCCAGAGAGTCCTGGAACAAGGAGTCCGGAGTTCACAGTCCAGAGACTGAAGTCAGTAAGACAGCGACGACATACTAACCTAAAGTTATATGGCCCGGGTCAGCAGTTGCCAGTTACGCCCTTTCCATGGTTAACCAATTCACTTTTGTCGCTCTGGCTCTATCCTGGGTCGGTTGTATTTATTTTTTGTGTTTCGTTGGCTCTGCTGGCTGCCTTTCTATGTAAATTTTTATGAGCGCGCGCATCAAATAAAATTAATTCCAAAAAATGTTGTTGATTTTGTCTCGCTTGTAACTGGGGTTTTTGTTGGTTTGGCTGCAGTTTTAAGCGCGGGGTTTATCGATATCGCTAGTTGTTTGTCGGTTGGAATTAAATTATGCGCCAAATTCTTTTGATATTTTCATTTGTTGATTTTCCTTTATTGATTTTATTGAAATTGAATTTTTCTTTCGTTTCGCAGTTTCGCAGCTTAATTGAAATTTAAAAATAAAATATATATAACACCCGCCACGCACACACACACACGCACTGATATATAAATCCTGGGCACTATGAATTTTTTGCGGTACGCACACACAAGGACTTCGCCAGCTGGCTTTCGAATATGAACCATAAATATGGGGATTTACGCTGGAAAACCCTCTAGTGCTGAGAGAAATAAATAATATTTTTATGTTACACGTTCTGGCGGTTAAATCAAGCAATCAATATCTAGATCCCGTTTTACTGCTTGCCTGCGCCACAAAGTATGCAATCAAAAGTTTAAGGATTGCAATTTCTTGTACAGTTTATTATTTTTGCAAAACTTTAGAGAAAATAAAATTCAATGGAGCATGTCGATTCAATTTTTTAACAAATGTATGAATAGTTACTTATCTATGATTTTAATATAATAAATTTTAGTCAGAAGCTTGTAAAACTGTGAGGGAGTCATTTCCGACCCCATAAATCATATATATTCTTGATCAGCATCAACAACTGAATCGATCTAACTATATTTGGATGACAACAATTTTTTGAAAATTTGTTAGATTTTTGCAAAAAATGATAAGGGGTTACATCATCAAAATTGTTCTGCACAAAAAAATAGGACCCATTTCCCTTTGCTGATTTTACCAATTACGACAATTTCCACACTGATTTCGTTGCACTCCCCTAAAAAAAAAAGAGAAAAGAAAAGTTTATTAAAGAAAAAAAGAAAGTGAAGCAAAGGCCGAGAGAGGAGTCATAAAAAAGCGAGGCGCCGAAAGTTTTTGGACATTAAACAGGATCCTTGGCATGCAGCAACTCCTGCTCCTGTTCCTACTTCTACTTCAACTTCTACGCTGTCCCTCGCTCTCTCCCTCCCTTTCCGCTTATCCGTATTTTGTTGCTGCTCTGCTCCTGCTATTTTTTTATTCCTTCTTTTGCTGCTACACGCGCTGCTTTCAAAATAACTCTAGGATACACAAAAAGACATCCTGTGGCCTCGAATATGTGTGTACATGTGTGTGTGTGTGCGAGCCTGTCTGTATGTGTAAAAGGTGAAACTTTGGAACTCCTTGCTGCTGCTGCTGCCGCTGCCGCTGTCGCTGCTGTTGTTGGTGTTGGCGCCGCTGTTGATAATTCAGGAGCACGAATTTGCCACGAAAAGCGAACGACAAATTAACGAGAAGGAATCGAAAACGAAGCGAGAAACGAAACGAAACGGAAAACGAAGCAAACGCGGGGAATGCACGGAGAAATGCGTATATAAAAAAATAAATATATTTTGGCCATAAATTAAACGATTTGCACACTAAAAGCGGGCGGGCAAGGCAGGCAGACCAACACGCGCGCAAAACTAACGGAGCGGCGTCGCTCGCACACTCACACACACACACACTTGCGCAGGATATTTCCGACTCTATGCGTGTGTGTGTCTGTGTGCGTGTGTATTAATGCCGCCGCAAAGCTAAGCGCGCAAAAACCGACAGATACACGAGCATTTAACACCCAAAAAATGCGTGGCGCATGTTAAAAGAAAAAACTGCTCCCTTTCGCGAAGGATATAGCCGACAGGACTTTCATTAATTTCTTTCTTTCTTTTTTCTTTGTGCTGTTATTTCACCATTAATTTAATTGGAATTTATTTTATATATTTCACATACTCCTCGTGGGCAATATGAATTTGATTTTCTTTTTTTTTTTTGTTGGTTAGTTAGAGGCACTGGGTTCAACTTGGTTTCCGGTGGCAGCGCCCACAATCGTAGCGTGTGCGTTCGCGTTTGTGTCCTGTACTCAATTGTATTCTCCCGAATTCTTGGAGCGCCGTCACAGCATAATCCTAGCCGATGCGGGTGCGCGCGATAAAGTTGTTGATTTTCACTGGAAAAAGCTCGCTCCCATTATCCTTAAAGCTAAATTTTAACCGATTATTCAGCCAGTGTTAGAGCATGTTATCGGTTTGTGTCCAAGCTAAAAAGGATAACCAGGGTTATCGGAAATTTGAACCGGTTTGCCGAGTTTTTTTCATGTGTGCAAAAAAGGCAAAAAAAAGAAAAGAGACATTGTTCTAATTTAAAATAAAATAAATACAAATAATACCCAAAGCTTCATAGATTTTCGAATTTACTTAGAGGCTTACATTACAAATGTACATGTGTAGTTATGGTATACAAGGATCAGTTAAATAGACGCCGTCACAGAATTGCAACACAACAACTTCTTCATCGTCCAGGATTTACTCCCTACAACAGACTCGCTGGCAGGAGTACAATATATAAAAATAGTCACTTATCTCACAATTCTCACAAAATGCTCGGTCTACGTATTAGAATGTGGCATGGTTCCGTATAAAGTACACCTCGTACTCCTTCTCAATCCATTTGATTAGCTTGTCCACATACTTGATCACGGTAGCCTTGTCCACCACGGGCTCAAATACGGCATATAGCTCGTAAGTACCGGTGGCCCAGGCCAAGACCACCTCGCGCTCCTTCACTTCGTAGATAAGCTTCAGCGGCCGGGCACTGTTGTGGATACGGTGCAGCAGATCGCAATAGATGGCCTCTAGGCGCCCTAGCTCCTCCAGCGACTTGTACGGATGCCTGAGCATCGGGCAGAGCAGCTGAGCCGTTGTCTTCGGCTTGTAGAGGAAGTGCCGCAACTCGGGTATGCCCACAACCTGTTGGTACAATTTTGCATTGAAGGTCACCTGCAGCTCCTCGTTGATGGCCTCCAAACAGTGATTTTTCCTCAGCTTCTCCGTTATCTTGGCCTTGGCCTCTGATAGTGTGAAAAAGGCATCTCTGTCCACGGACAAGAGAAGCAAACATGCCTGGCAGTCGTCCGCCAAATAGGAGACATGCGCATGCAAATACCCATTCATATCGAACTTGGGCAGGCAGATGGGCGACCAGTTCTCGGAGCTCTTGAACGACTCGGAGCACTCCACTAGATTGAAGATCAGTCTCAAGTCAGCCGGATGTATTGAGTACTTCTTCATGCGGACAAGAGCTATCAATTTGTTGTTGGCTATCAGCACCGCAAAGACCAGATTCTTAATCTTTGAGCAGTTGCTCTGAATGGCGCTGGTGATCTGCGATCGTATCGTTGTGGACAATGGGAAGACGCGTATAGAATTGGTCAGGAACGTGAAGATGTTATTGGACACTAAGGGGAAAAGATATATTATTAGATATGCATATGTATATTATGAGTATTATATAAATTACCTTTAGCACTTGTGCTATCATTGGCCAGCAGATTGTAAAATAAACGCTCACTGCCGGAGAGTAATCTCCTTAAATCAAAGTTCTTGCGCTTCTCGAAGATCTTTGTCATGTGTGAGTACGTCAATATGGACAGTATTTGATTGTAGACATCCCTAGAATGGTACAACCCCCAATTAGTTGGAATCACTATTCGATAACCAAGATGACTCACCCCAGTTGCAGTTGCAACTGCTGGACGCTCATGTTGCTCCTGCTGGCTGCTACCAGGATGAGCGAGCTTCGTTGCATAAAGGCGAACTTGATGCCGGACGCATGTATCGACGTTATGGCATCCTGACCCAGTTGCACGAAGCTCACCAGCGCCTGGATTACACCGAACAGCGTGGCCAGCTTGTCTTCGTTACCGTGCAGCGAAAAGATCGGTTTACCCGCTTCGCTAAGTATAAAGATGTGCTTCTTTTGGCCCCGCCACAGGTTGTCATGCTGATAGTCGTACTCCTCCTCCAAGGCGCTGCTGGAATCCTCGGTCTTGGCACTTGTGGAAGTGCTCAACGCCAGGGATTCCACGGAGGCAGCCAATCCCTTAGCCTGTCCTCCGGGCTCCGGACTGAGGGCGGTACTGCCGTCGCCCCTGCCCAGGCCATCTCTTAGCTCAGAGATAATACTATGGTTCTGCTGCTGCTCAGCCTCTGGGTCGTCTTGATCCGCCTCCTGATACAGGTTCGCTTCCGGATCGGTTGCTTCCGGATCACCCTCGGCGTCCAGGAACTCGCATGTAGAGTCAGATCTGATTGACGACTGCTCGACTTCCATTTCCGCTGATTTTGGGCTATTTCGGTCGCTGGGACATTGCAAATATTAGCAAAAAATCAAAGTTTACAACTCAATCGGTGAATAAAAAAAAACATCTGAGTGGCATTATCCAACACTTGGATAAGAACAGATGATGAAGGTTACTGTGGGATGTTCCAGAAAGCACTGAATCTTTATTTATTTATTTCAAAGGATTATGGAAGTAAGGTTCATAATTTTTCTGAACGAAGATTATATTATATATTTAATAGCATTAAATCAGACAATTTAAGTTAATGCGTTTATTAATTAATTTTAAATCCTAAATTTTCCAACACTAGACCCAGCTGTTATTTACCCCCCTAAAAAAGTAAGAAGAAGAGCTCCAAAGAAGAAGAAGAAAGGTTATGAAAACACGAGCCGCTCAAAATGTTAAGAAAATCGCTTGGAAACCGTAAGTAATCAATAAAAACGTTAATAAAAACTATTTACAAATATCACTGTTTGACAGTGCCTCGCTTTGGTCAACTCTGCGGCCTGCCTCGTCGCTTGCAGAGCACACAGCCGGAGCAAGCAGAGCCGGAGGACATTGCCGTGATAGAGCAACGGATTCTGAAGCATCCGGATTACTTCCAAGTCCATAACCTGTTCACCGTACGCGATCTCTTCAACGCCCGTGTTCACTACGGTCACAAGGATGGCTCCCTAGATGACCGCATGCGTCCTTATTTGTTTGGCAGCCGGCTGGGACACTTGATCTTCGACTTGGACAAGACGGCATCACACCTGCGGGATGCCTTGAACTTTGCCGCACACATCGCCTTCCGGGACGGCATTATTCTCTTCTTCAATCGCAACGCTTTGAACGCCCATCTCGTAGAGCAGAAGGCCCAGGAAGCGGGCGAGTTCTCACACACACGCTTCTGGCGCGGCGGCATCTTTACCAATGCTAATGTGCAGTTCGATGCCGTCACCCGGTTGCCCGATCTCTGCATCTTCTTAAACACGCAGAACAATGTGATGGCCCAGCACACCGCAGTGCGGGATGCGGCCAAAATGGCCATTCCTACAATCGGAATTGTGGACAGCAATTGTAACCCGAACTTGATCACGTATCCAGTGCCCGGTAACGATGACTCTCCGGCAGCTGTGGAGCTTTACTGCGACCTCTTCAAGGAGGCTATTCTGAGGGGAAAGCGAGAGCGTCGTCAGCTCCTGGGACTACCGCCCCTCGACGAAACGCAGCCCAGACGCAGCCGTAAACCCAAAAAATAGCCTTAAGTAGTATGTTGATTTTGTTACAATTTATCTTCTGCTGAATACAAATGCCGATTTCCATCGGTTCAGAAGGAGTTAGAAATGGTCGGAGACGGTATATCTGCCATCCGGAAGGGTGTCAATACATTGGAGGTGCCATGCGATTGAAACAAGATTTGTAAAAGTCCGCATCTGGGGTTAGATTTGAAAAAGTATCCTAGGATGGCTGCGTGGTGCCGCCCTTGACGAAACTGTTGCTGTAGTGACTGTAGTAAGAGGGATTTGAGTTGGATCCCGTGTTGGTTGTAGGAGTGGAGGACCACTGAACTGGGGACACTTCCGGCGGAGGCGGTGGCGGTGGTTGCGTCACCAGCTGACTCAAAGTGGCTCCGTCCACGCCGACGACGCCACCCTTGATGGCACGTCCAGGACCAAAGAAATTCTGCAACTGTGTTTTTTTGTAGTCCACCTTTGGCTTGTCCCAATTGCCAATGTTGGCTGACTTGCGCACGAACACCTGTCCGGATTCATCCTTCTCCTGCTGCACCCATCGCTCTGCATGCTTGACCGTCAGCATTGCCTTGTGTGCGCCTATGTACTCCTCGGCCTTTTGCAGCCTCTCCAACTGCTGTTCGTCTAATTGATCACGGGGCAGTTTGCCCAGCCGCTGCACCGTCCGCTTCCAGTTGTGAAATTCACGGTTCTTGAATGGCTTCATCGCCTGCCGGTACTCCTTCCACTGCCGCTGGCGTTCCTCCTTTGTACCGGGCAGCGCATCTTCGAGGGGCGGTGGAGCCTCCGGCTTTTGGATCCACTGTCCGTTGATTTGTATAAAGGCGCCGCTGCGCTTGGGCTTCTTGGAAGGCTGATCACCATTTGACTGAGAGCTGCTGGTGCCTTCGCTTGCCGGCGACGAAGACGCAGGAGGAGGTGGCGGTGGCATTAGCTTGGAATCTTTAGAGTTGGTGTTTTTGCCTCGATTATTGTTATTGTTATTGTTGTTGTTGGGTTTAAACTTTTTGTTTGGTTGCTGCTGGTTGTTCTGATTGGTCTGATTTTGTCTTTGAGGCCCTCGCTCCTTGGGCACCAGATTCCACAAGCTGGGACACTTTGGCATCGGCGGTTGGATTGGCGGTGGACCATGACTCGGCGACATCATGTCCTCCCAGAAAGGGGGCGGCTGCAGTGGTCGTTGGTTTCGATTGCGTCGTGGTCCCGGTCCTCCCATTGGACCACCAGGACCCATTGGGCCACCAGGACCCATTGGGCCACCAGGACCCATTGGGCCACCACGACCCATTGGGCCCCCAGGACCCATTGGACCGCCAGGCCCCATCGGACCGCAAGGTCCCATGGGTCCGCCCGGACCGCAAGGTCCCATTGGTCCACCTGGACCGCAAGGTCCCATTGGTCCGCCCGGACCGCAAGGACCTGGACCCGGGCCGAAGTTACCTCCGAAGTTACCGCCGAAATTGCCGCCAAAGCCCATGTTCATCAGCTGCATGGGTAGTGGCGGGGGTCTGCTCAGCGGCGGGAAGTCGTTTCTGTTGTGGTTCCATGGTCCGCCGCCTCCCTGGAATCCTCTGTGATCGTTGATGTAGTTGTTGCCGTTGTTATACGACCATTGTTTACGTCCTCCGTTGTTGTTCTGGTTGTTCCAGTTGTTACTGCTATTATTGTTACTATTGTTGTTGTTGTTGTTATTGTTGTTATTGTTGTTATTATTATTGCTATTGCTCCGCTGTTGTGCGCCGGATTTGGATTCCGGTTTGACGAGGGCCTCCTTACACTTCTTCCAATCCGCGAAAGACATTTTCAATGGGATTGTTTCCACCTCCTCCTGGCCGGACTCGGTACTGGTGTCCGCTGGCTCTGGCGGCTCCACCTTTATTTCCTCGTTATCCGACATTTTTCACAGAAAGACCCGACTTTCGAGGCAGTTTTTAATAACTCTAATTTTACTCGCTCTACTTTATTATTGACTGAAGCTGGGTGTTACTTTTTCCAATATTTTGTTGCCTTTTCAGTCATTTTTTGTTGCACGCAGTGTGGCCGCCTGCTTTTCTATTTAAAATGGTACATTTTAGGCACACCAAAAACGCTCGAATTGCCAAACTCCTTGTTGTCGGTGAGAACGGTTTGAATGGTGGTATTATTTAGCACTTTTTCAGAAATGATGGCTTTTGTAAACCACCCACGCTGGGCATACTGTTTAGTCGAAGTCGCAGAAATTTTATTGGTAAGCTTTTGTAGTTTAATTCTCTGACTTAAATTACAGCCGCAAAAGTGCCTTTAATTGCCGCGCTCGGTATCGGTTGTGCTTGGATAGTAACATTTGATTCGTTGTCTATGGGAAATTGGAAATATGCGTGAGTGGGGAAGTGCAACGTCCCAGCGAAACGCGTAGTTTGTGACGGATGCGCCCCATGGTGGCAGTGGCATGCCGTCGAAACTCAGTATTATTATTCAATGTAGGAGAGAGCCGTGGCCAAAACGATTTTGCCGTTCTTCAGACTAATTAAGGGCTTTCGCGATTTTTAACTGCTTTTTGGCGACCCTCCGCCCCAAATGGAGCTAACTGCGCTGCTCCCAGCGACGTCGACAGAGGCCAGACCTGTCTTGTTGTTGCTATTCTCGACATATGATTCAATAGGAATAAGTGAGTGAGCATGATCGCTCTCTTCTCTCTGTTGCCGTCCCGCCCTCTCTGGGCTCCCACCCGCGGACAAATTCAGTTTTTTGTAATATTTATGTTCTTGCTGTTGTTGCCAGTGTAAGTGATATTTTAAAAAATCAGTTTGGAGCGAGAAAGTCTGGCCGAAACAAAAACAACGACGACAGCAGCAACAACAATTAGCCTTCGCAACAGTCGCACAAATGGTCGTCCGCTTGCTGTTCCCATTTATGCAAACAATTTTCATTCATTATTTATTTATTTCTATTTTATTTTGTTTTGGAATTCTGTGAGCAATTATCGCTAACGATTTGGTTTCGAGTGGCGGCCAAGTGATTCAGCCAAAGCAGCAGCAGGCGCTAATGGGTTAAGTCCCCCCACCTCTAAACTATGCATATAGATAAATCTTTGGAGTCCGGACCCCGGAGGTGTTATCAGATAAACCCACTTATCAAACGTGCACATCTCAAAATGAGGCTACAAAGATATAACCCCAAGAAACATTGCGTCGCAATATTTAAAAATCAAGTGTTGTGTGTGCTTTTTAGGTCAAAAATATTAGTTTTGAAGTTCAGAACGGTTTTATACCATTCCTCATTCTTTATTATCGTTTGGAATATTCAAGAATCCTTGATTATTAATTAAAAAGTGCGTAAAATAATAATAATTATTACATTAAACAAGAACAGGAAGGTCAAGATCTTCAGCAAAGTGTAAAAGAATACTTCCTCGCCTTAAAGGGTTAACTTAAGTCACTATTTATACAATAATACGACAGTCTGGCCCTCCAGTAATCTCCAACTTCTTTATCTTTCCAGGGGGAGGTGCGGAAAAAACGCTTCTACGATTTCTTTTTCACCAAATTCTTGCATCAACATTTTAAACGAACGAACTAGTAACCAGTAACCCTAACCAGACACAAGTCACTCTCAACGACGACAAGAACAACGATAGCCAGTACAGGACAGGACAAGAAGCATCTTAAACAATTCTGAGACATCATCGAACCGGACGAAGCAGCGTAGCAAGCCCATTGCAAAAATGGCCCACACACATCTGGGACGCGCTGTGAAAAACATTGAGGCACCGCGCCCACTGAAGACACAGTCGCGTGCCTCGTTGAAGAACAGCTATTTGGTGATTGAGGAGCTTATCCAGTTGATTGACAACGTTACCGTGGGCCTGCAGTCATACAATACCACACCGGAATCGATAACGCTGCTGCTGCACAATCTACGCGTCCATGGACCACAGCTGGAGGCGTTGTCCAAGGATACACTGGATCGGGCCTTTGTGGTGTTCCGCAACGCTTCGCAGGACGAACGGCTGAACATACTGACGCGTCTCAAGCTGCTCGAGCTGATCGAGCTGCGTGCCAAAAGCTGGGAGAACGATGATACTATCGCCTACTACAAGTCCAAGCAGCAAGTCTCCAACGTGGAGGTGAGTTGGTGAAGAGAGATCCTACAATGTTTTATAATTCAATGTACTATTATTCCAGCTGCCCTCAGAGACATATCAGTACGATGCCGGCGGGCAGCCAGGCGGCTTTCTCAGCACCTCCCCCACATTCGGTGTCAGCGGTGGCGGTGTCAACGTTGGCGTAGGTTCCGCCGCCGCTGCTGCCGTTTTTAATGCGGCCTCTGCAGCCGTAGCCGCCCAAGCAGCGGCCATTGCGGCTGTGGGCTCACCCAACCAGCAGCACCTGCTGCTGCCGCCCGGTGAGGTTATCCGCAACTCGGGAAAGTTCCCCAAGCCCACGAAGATACCCGGCAAGACGTACTGCAAGGACGAGGTGGTTATACGCAACGCAGACTCCGGCAAAGGTAAGTATCTGCGGCTGATTGGTTAGGTACACTTAATCTTTGAATATATTTTTGAAAATGTATTTTGCAAACAAACAAAAACATATAATCCGTGACCCATAGTCATGGGCATCAAGGGTCGACGCGTGCACATGATCGAGGAGCTTAGCGAAACCATAATATCGTTTCAAAGAGGTAACCTCCCAGAACTCTGGGTTCAACTAGTCGATTTTATCACACTTCAGCTTCATTTGGCACGCTTTTACCCATAAATATGGTTTATTCTAAAATTACGGAACGTAATTAATCAAAAATGCATCCCATTTGTGTTCATAAAGGTGTTTTAACTAATTGTTTTTCGTTATTTCCTTGTATATATTACATTCTTAAATTGTTTGCCACACTATAATAAATGTATTATTTCATTCAAACTGCACACATTTCCATTTAATGATAAGGATTGAAAGTTTAATTAATAATGTTATTCTTTGATTAGTCAACCCGGGTGCCAAGGAGCGTTTGGTGCAGATCACTGGCCCAGCCGAAGATAAAATTAAGTGAGTAATGTAAATATGATATTGCTTTATACTTAGCAATTTAATGCAGAATATTAAAATGTAATTTTATTTTAAAATATGTTTACACCTTTTATGCCCTTGCATGGTATTATCATTTAAGACAGAAGCTTTTAATTATGTGAAAGAGCAATTTCCGACCCCATAAATCATATATATTCTTGATCAGCATCAACAGCGGAGTCGATCTAGCTAAATCAGGCTGCAAAAAAAAATTTAGAAATTTTTTCGAAAAAATATAAGGGGTTGGTTACATCGTTAAAATTTTCAAAAATCGAAAAAATTGTAATCTTTTAACATTTTAAATTGAGTATGCAGTTTTATTTCCCTAATAAAAACTAGCATTGAAAATGTTTCCGAATTGATATTAATGCATTTTTGGCTTAGTTATGCGTTTTTAAAAATTTGAATTATAGACAAAATTGTATATAAAATATTGATATATATCGACTCAAAGAATGGTAATATACTAAGCTTAGTTATGATTGATTTCCCATTCGATCCTATAACTCGATTGCAAACTGCAAGGGCATATAAACTTCGGCTTCCCGAAGATAGCTTCTTGTTAAATGTTAATTTAGCCTTTTTTCTGAATTTATCTTATTTGGTATTTATTTAATGTATAATTTTTTAAATGCGAGAAATTCCTCTATTCTTTAATTACTTTTTATAATTAAATTTTCAGAAATATGTATTTAAATCGATTATTTTTTTTTTTCGATAATTAATGTGTTTTAAAATGTTCGCAAACTGTAAGCTTCGAGTAATTTGGTAACTCTGGCAAGCTACAAGCGCGAAAAATAACTGTAACCGCTTTCCGCGGATGGCAACTCTTGTACACTTTTCTTTCGAATTTCATCAAGAGTAAACATATTTTAACAAAATGTCCTTATTTCTGGATAGCTATGCCAAACAACTGATGGAGGACACAATTCGCCGCAATGCATCGCCCGTGCGCCTGGAACCCGCTCCCGCTGCCGGTGGATCGTGCTCTTCACTCAATTCATCCAACTCGGACGACGCCATTGTGCAGCCGCGCACTCCCGGTGGCGGCAGCAGTAGCTTGGCCAACCGGCTGAGCTTCAATTCGGCGCAGAACTTTATGACCGCCACTGCGGCGGCGCAGCAGATCTCGCAGCATCACCAACAGCATCAACAGCACCAGCAGCAGCAGCAGCAGGTTGCCGCAGCGGTAGCAGCGGCTCAAGCGCAGGCCACAGCAGCTGCTGCCGGTAAAGTTTTGCGTCCCAATCAGCAGCTGCTTATGCACTCATATTCCACAAACGATGCTTCCGTAGGTGAATACAAGTTCACGGTGAATGTGGGCCAGCACCTGATCAAGATAACCGGCGACTGTTGCGAGCTAGTGCGCGTAAGTCCTAGAAAAAGTTGTATATCTTAAGAGAAGGCCATTTAAAAATTGATCTTTCAGGTGGCCAAGCTTGTATTGGACGATTACTTTAGCAGCTCGGAATTCCTGGCCTCCATGGAGGCTGGTGCTGCCTTCGATGGCACTTCTCTGGTGAGCCCCGTGACCACGCCATCGACTCCGCTACCCGGCGCTGGACCGCCGCAGTTTATGCTGCCTTTGGCCGACAGCGGCATTGGTTTGAACTACTCGGCCAACAATAATGGCGAGGGGGATGATGAGGTCTTTGCTGAGCCCAGCAACGGAGCGTTGGCCAATAATCAGAATGGTCTGGCCCGTTCCCGACGCAGCCACTTCTCGCGCAAAGAGTCTACGCCAGAGGCGAAGGCCGCTCGCGAAATTTTCGATGTTGAGGAACATACAGCTTTGAAGACAAGTGCATGTAAGATTGAATCTATTTTTATTTTGGAATTGAGAGTTTTGTGAAGGTTCTGTTTGGTTTTTGTGTTTAATTAAGTGTTTTTAAGCAGGAGTACTGAAAATAAGTTACTAATAATTATATATATTCACAGCTCGCGTCTCGTATGATTTGGAACTTTTGATTTATTACTCGAAGAGCCCGCATGCTTGGGTCCTGCCCACCGACTGGCAAAAGATTCAGGAGACTGCCCCATCGATTCTACGCAACAAGGTAACACACGCTCTCGCTAAGCTGCCCTTCGATAGTTTCGCTTACACTTCAAACAACTGCCCCGACATCATCTCCACCAATAGTGCACATAACTCATCAGTAATAACAACTCCGACAGCGTCCACAGCTCTGAATGCAAGTAACAATACCACCCTAACCTCCACCGCCATCGCCTCTGTCACCGCTAACGCTGGGAATGCCAGTTCCAATGTGCTCGAGTCAATAATAGACGCTCCCATAACTAACAACGGCAAGAAAGGGGGGCGCCTGCCCAAGCCATCGGCTGAGTCCGATAGGAATTTGTATAATAAGCAGCTTCAAATAATAACAAACACAATGGGTGGATCCATGGGAAAGACCACTAACATTCGCCAGGCTCAAGCATCTCAAGTAAAGACGGTCTTTAAACGCTACAGCGAGGACGATGAATTCGTTACGGCAGCAAGCGAGCCGATTGTGTCGCTTGAACTTAATAATAACCAGAATAATGGTTATTAGACCTTATCTTTGTATCAGTAACTCGAATACGTAGCCGGAATACGTACCTGAGTTCATTTCAAGACAAACATTCTCTATGTATCTCAACGAAAAGCCTGCCTTTTATTTATCCATCATCATAATACATGTTGATCTCGAAGCCTACCATTGATGCTAGAAAGAACATCGTTCAATCATCACTATCATACATTCATCTAGTTATAGAAACACAAAACAAAAAAAAACCAAACGAAAGTAAACAATTTGCTAGTCTTAGACATAAAGAATTCAAGTTGGAAATTGTAACCCAAAATAAGGAGAATCTGTGTTTTGGCTGTGAAACAGATTAAGTCTTCGCTAGAGTTTAACTAATATTGATACAAACTTTAAAGTTTCATAAATCATTACATGCACATGCTCGAATTCAAATGACAAGAAAAGAAAGTGTAATTTATATTATTAACAAGACTTGTAATAACTTTAAAATGAAACCAAGCAATGTTTTTGGGACATACACACACACATCTAGTTTTAAGCGTTTTATCTCCTAACCATGACACACATATAACATATTACATATTGTAATTCCAATAAACGAACGTTGTGGACTTTCAAAGTCCGTCACAATACTTGGCTTGGGTTTAACTATTAACACCGCTTAACATTTGTAAATTGTACACCAACAAAATGCATAACAACTCACCCAGCACGCTAACTGTTCCCATAAGATCCACATACCATGTTTGATTGTCCCAGGTAAGCTCGTCCCTCAAGCTGGCAAACTATTTTAAATCTGTCTTCTCTATGTACTATACACTATGCTCTTTCCTGAACAGGATCTGCAGGATGAGAGCCAGCGCTTCGATGGCGATAAATATCTGGCCAGCATTAAAAATGCCGCCAAGCGGGACATTGTGGCAGCCGATGAAGCCGAGACTTTGGATGATTAATAAACGGAAGCCACGCAGCCAAGCGGTCCAAACTGACAATATAGATAATACACATCACCTATATATATTATCAATCAATGTCCGTTGTAAAGAGAGAAAGAAAAAGCTCAGACGGAGTTCAATTCTAGCCTCTCACTTTCAACAAAAAACGCAATAACAAAACGACCAAAAAAAAAAGATATATTGAAAAAAAAAATTAAGCAAAACTAACCTTAGAAATTATCAACGACGACAAATCAAAACTTTCAATTTTTAACTAGAAAATTCTACGAAGCTCTTAGTTAAGTTTAAAAATGCGAAAAAGGGGATTTTCCCTAATATATTTACTAATTCACAAAATGCAGCTAACTCGAAACAAATCGTTACGAAGCAAAATATTAAAATGGAATGCATTTTTTCAGTAGAAAATTAATAGAGAACGACACAACACAAATTTTTAATTTAAAATTGTGTTTCTCATCTCCCACTTTAACTTTAAACCAAAACAATTCTCAAACATGGAAAAGGAAATGTATTAATGTTCATCATCTATGTCTTTATTATCATTATTTTATAAACTTGACTTGCTCTGAATATCATTTCTTTTTTTTTCTGTCAAGATTTGCAAATTGTATTTTGTTTTCTCTAGTCTATGCATCATAGAAAATTTTATGTCTTTCTTTATTTCATAGAAATGGAAATGTAACAACACCAAAATTCTTTGAATTTCTGTTTATGCTTTAGTTAATTTATTTAATTTATTCTGTACAAATAGCAAACAAAAAAATTTATATATTTGCAATGAAAATAAAATGGAATCATAATTAAACATTGGGAGAACAATTCTTCGATGAACTGAAAAACTGCTCAAGGTTTAAATAATGCTCATATTTACCCGAAAGTTTATTTTGTATTCTTTAATTTACTGAATGTACATTTACATAAATTTATTTATACAACAAAACAATAAGTATAACAATAATGTACGTTAATTGATATGTATAATAGAATATTGGCTAGAAGTTGAACCGATGTGCGGTTAGCAGAATGTGCTCCAGATTGCGTACCATTTGTCAGGTTTCATAGAGAGATGGCCTTAACATCACAATTGGTGGTTATTGGTTAGCAGTGAACATGGATATAACCGATCGTGGCACCCACTTAGTTGCCCAATAAAGGCCGTCGGTTCACAAAGGGACACTGCATTGAGCTTTTGGCATGTACACGAAAGCAAATATATATATATAGAGAATGTTAATTAGTCCGATACTGATCCGAAACATAAATAGGATAGTACAACATCAACACATCAATGGCATGCGTAACTCGACTCAATATTCACGTACATCGAGGTGTGATATGTGGCCCGCTGGGCAGGGGACATGTTCAGGTTGCCCTGATGTTTCCGATTGTATGCCCAAATCGCACAGGTGGCCAGCAGGGAGACTGTAATTAGGGAAAATAAGAAATAGAAAAGTTTAGGTCTAGTTTTCCTCCAAAATATGTAAGCTTTACTCACTCAACAGGAAGAACATGAAGAAGATCTGTAGCCAGAAGTGACTGCCACCGCTGTTATCCACAATAATTCCCGCTACAATGGTGACCACAGCTAAGCCCAGGTTCTGCACCGACTGGCAACTGCATCAAAGAGTATTTAAATATTAAAAACAATTAGAAATAATATCCAAACTCCAACTTACAAGCCATAAGCAGTACCCAGCTGATATTCGGGCACAATCAACGAGACCAGAGGCCACAAGCTGGCCGCCAGCATGGAGTAGGACAGACCCATGATGCTCATTCCAATATAGGGATCCCAGTGCGTAAAGGTCAGCAAAAAGTGAGCAAACAGCGTAGAGATGGTGGCACAAAATACCCAAGTCACATTCCTGCCCACTTTGTCGATTACAAAACCAAACAAAGGTGAAGCTATAGCCGAGATCAGATAGACAATCGAATTGACAGTGTTTGCCTCATCCGGGGTCATGTGGAAATTGCTGACGAAGAAGGCCTGGCCAAGTGCCACAAATGGAAAGATGGCCACATAGTAAGCCACACACACTACCGACACCATCCAAAAGTCCATCTTAAAAGTGACTATATCGCTAAGCTTGGCTATCTCTCCGCCGGGATTATTGTTCCTTCTCAGAATGCGTTCCGCACGTTTATCCATCCAGCCTGAAATTGTGCATACATTTATTTAATAAGATTATCTATTAATAGGTGGTCAAATCTTACCCAGAATTAGGGTACAAAGCAGCGACATCACGCAAGTGGAGGAGGCCAGGAATAGAGCCACTCCGAGACCCGTGTAGCCAGAGTAAGATTTCGAAACGTAGCCATATAGAGGTTGCATTATCCAGAAATTGACGGTGCTGCCGAAGCGAGCCACCGACAACTGCAGTCCGAAGACCATGTTCAGCTCCTTGCCCTTGAACCAAAGCACTGCATAGCTGTTTTGGGCCACAGCCAGCGACTCAGCCCCAATGCCGAACACAAATCGACCCACGATCATCAGCCAGAAATGGCCAAGCACTCCGCCGGTTGCAAAGATCAATTGTCCCACTAGCACGATCAGCATGTAGATAATGGTGCCCAAACGGATTCCAAACACTCGATCGATCAGGAAGCCACCCACAAAGCAGAGCACTATATTTGGCCACGAGTAGATGGAGTAGATCAGCGTGAACTCGGTGGAACTGAGGTCTAGCTCCTTTTGGAATACGTCCTGCAATGCGCCGGGATTATCGTAGCAAAAATAGGAACCTAAAAGGGAATGATATAATAAATTAAATTAATCAGATTCAAATAGATTTTAAAATACAATAATACATTTAAAAAAAAAAGTAAAGTAAATCTTACCGAAACCCAAAAGGCACATAAACAGCAGAGCCAGGAACCGGTGGGGCGTGCTGGTTGGATCACAGCAGCCGGTATCCTTTGATGGACCCAGCTCCGTGTCGCGGGCACTGCGCCGTCGCACCACAGGATGCACCTCATCCTCGCCGCTGCTGCAGCTGCTGCTGTTCGAGGTGTCCACGATGGGTTTGCGTTCCTCGCGCGACATGACCTTTTCCGTTCGTTCGTCTGTTTGGTTGCAAGTAGTTGAAGGAATGACACAGGAAATTTGAGTTGTGCGTTGGCAAAATTGCTGTTTGCTTCCTTGCCCCCTTGTGGGCAACGATGGGGAGTTGTGGAGTCGTGGGTGGCTGGTGGGTGGGTGGCTGGGCCGTGGCCCTACTGTTGTTGCTTATCACTAGACCGCACCATGTTGCTGTTGTTATTGCTGTTGCTGGCGCTGCCTCAGTATGCGAGTATCGATTATTCCCGCACAGATGGAAGAAATGATAAAGTGCACGGGGTGCGAAGGGTAGATGTGGAAGGTTAATCTGAAATAAAGCGTTGCTTGTAAATTGCATTTTGCTAAGTTAATTTTGCGGGCATGAAGCCACAGGCACGTACACCCACAGGTAAAGGTCACCGGTTTGTGTGCGCGTCTGTGTGTTTCCTAGATAAACATGACAGATCTTGTCGCCCGCGGTGCTCTGTTGACTAACGGTAAATGGGTAATCAATTAAGCGCCCGCCTTGTGTTACGGCCTTAACATGGCCTGACACCTGATTTAGGGCTTTATTACGTTATTTGCGTATTGAAAACAGCCCAAAGATATATATCTGCTACATATACACATTCCAAAATATATGTACACACATATGAATGTAAAAAGGCGGTTAAGAATCAAATACCCTGTTATCACAGTCAACTGCGAGCGTCATACACTAATTAATCACAACTTCCGCGGTGCTATTTTGCATTATTTACGCTAGACTTTGTTTAAATCCCGACTGTAACGGCACCCGCATACACATCCATACAACAAATGTTATTAAGTACTCTTCGAATATTTATAAAGAAAACAAAGAAATGTTTTGTGTGAAGCGTTTGCAGTTATTTAAATTCAACAAGTTGACGAGCAGAACTTACGGTATCTTTCAGTCCCCTGGACAGGAGAAGAATGTTTGCGCCTACCTGCTTTCCTACCTGTTTCAGGCGGGAGTATCCGTTTGTCCAATCGATATATCGATATGTCATATTATATCGAGCAGAAGTCAAATATATTTTTAATAACAGAACTTTACTTTCTCCTGTTTGGAATACTTGTATTCATAATTAGCACATCCAAAATAAATAAATTTTAATCAATTGCACGTTAAATTTTAAATTAATTTGATAATCTCTCCCAGCGATAGTTGGCTACCACCTCCGCATCACTGATTTAGTGCTGGATAACGCCCGCTGAGCATCAGGTGGCAACCGTGTAGTATATCAGCCTGTTTACACTGCCTGGCCAAGCAAAACAATCCAACGAAATTAACAAAATCAGCACAAAGTTCAATGTTTTTAGGCACCGCACACACCCCAAACCATTGGCAAGATAAAGCATAGCGATAAGTATGTAAGTGAAGGTTCACACATGTGATTGACACGCACCCAGACCCCAGTTTCGTGCAGTGTAAATGCGCCTGAAATCAGTTGTGAAACAAAAACAATAACAACAACAACAAAACACAATGTTGTCTTCGTCGTCGAACAACGCAAATTTATTCAAAGACCTTCCGCCACTCTCTGACTCGCTGTAGAGCTAAACACGTTTCGTCTTTGCTTTGCTTGCATGTCCACCTCGCGATGACCCCCAACGACAGGAACTAGAGATACTTGTGCTGGCCACGACGACGACGCGAGAGATGGCAGCGATAAAGGTGAGTAGGAGAAGAGCAGCAAACAAAAGAGAACCTAATCCTATCCATTTCCACGCCAGAACATCACCCTGGGCATTCTGTATGGCCTGTGGGACAGCATTCGGGGCATGACTCTGGTCTTGCACATCGACGACGAAGTGAATCGCCAGAATGCCGAGCTGGAGCAACGCCAGCTGCGACGCAATGACAAAGATCGGTATGAGCGAGCGCGCAGATCACCGTCACCAGTGCCTAGTTCGGCGGCGGCCATGATCCGTGAGGAGTATGCCAAGCAGGCGGAGGAGAATGCCGACGAGCGGAGTCTGCAGAAGATGCTTAGCAAGAAGACTGCCGCCGCCAAGGAGGAGCAGCCGCAGGGGTAAGTCCCCCCATACATGCCTACGTGACTGTTACTAATTTATTGCGCACTTGATTTTTGATTCGATTTGATTTGCAGCGAGAAGAAGATCGCCAAGAAGCTGTTCAAGTGCTGCATGCTTAACGGCGGCTTCACCTGGCTGAGCATTGTCCTCTTCGAGTCGGCGCTACTGCCGACGCTCAAGTTCTGCCTCACCATCTTCTATGGCGCCCAGTCAGAGACATTGCCCGTTGTCTGGGGATGGCTGCATCCGATTCTGTCCCTGCTCTTCGGCATGATGTGGGTTCTGCCCATCTTTATGCTGTCCAAGATTGTGAGCTCGCTGTGGTTTGCGGACATCGCGAATGCCGCCTATCGCGTGCGAAAGGGCCGTCCGCAATTGATTCCGGGCATCAGTAAGCTGGTGGCCGATTTCCTCTTCAGCATGGTGGTGCAGATGCTGTTCCTGGTGCAGAGCATGCTGGTCAACCTGGTGCCGGTGAAATATGTGGGCTCCACGCTCTGCTTTGTGCATCTGTGCCTGCTCTATTCGCTGTACTCCTTTGAGTATAAGTGGTTCAATATGGGATGGGAGCTCCATCGACGGCTCACCTACATCGAGAAAAACTGGCCGTACTTCTTCGGCTTTGGCATACCGCTCACAGTGCTGACGAACCTGTCCAGCTCGGTGATTGTCAGCAGCTGCATCTTCTCCATTTTCTTCCCCCTGTTCATACTCAGCGGCAATGAGGCGAAGCCCATTGTGGACACCACGTAAGTGTTTGATAATACAGACGAACTTCTTGAAGGCAAACTTGTGTGTACCTTTTGTAAAACACAAACGATTTTCTTTAGCTAGAAGCTCATCTGTCTAAACTATAAATAACCATATACAATTGTCTCTTCCGCGTAGTGAGATTTCGCTGCGTCTCTTCTCGCCGGTGGTCTTCATATCGAACCTCTGCTTCGGCGGCAATCCGTGGAGCAAGGCCAACCGGCTGAGTGCCATGCAGCGTCAGCAGTTCGAGCTGCAGCAACGACAGCGTCTGCTCCAGCGCGATGAGCAGCTGCTCAAACAGCGCAAGCAACAATATGTGCAGCAACAGCGTCTGCAGCAGGAGCAGCAGATGCGCCGAGAACGCTCCCATTCGCGGTCCCACACTCCGCAGCTGGGTGGGCATCCACATCGGTATGCCCAGGCGCCCGTCTTTGATGCCGGTCGGGTGCGCGACTCCTCTGCCTCGTCCACGCACAGCTCCACCTCGCCGAGCATCAGCAGGCCGCCGCCTTATTACGGGAGCACGTTGCGCGGAGCTGCGCCTCTCGTGCCCACACCAGTGCCCGGAGCACCAAAGGCGCCGCTTACCCCGCCCGTGATACGCCAGGAGACGGGTCCTGATGACTGGAACTTGTGAGATTTATGCATATACACTCTACGTAGGCTTTAGCATTATATATATATACATTTAATTCGATCTGTGTAATGTACGTATCATCTACTACTATCTAACCATCGTGAACTGTCGTAAGTTAAGTAAAAAATCTAGGTCTTACGCATAATGACAATGTTCGCTAGTCGAAAACGCCACCACCACCACCACCACCATGAATGACTATATATATAGATATTGTGGCTATATCTGAAATGTGGCTCGCTCAACTGCTGCTGCATAATCGTTTACATGTTTATTTTAGGCTGAGTTTTTCTCTGTTTTGATTTTTTGCTCGTAGGGTGCACACTCTCTACACTAGAAATAATGTCGCGGGGCGTAAGTTCATTAATTGTATGATTAAACGAAACAAAAAATAAAAATAATTTTGTACTTTCGTCAAATAGCGTTATTGTTGTTGCTTAAACAAGGGAGATCGGTTGATAGGACCTTATCTGTACGATTTGTCTGGACTTGATTAGTAATCGTTGGGCTGTGTGAGTCAGGGAACTAATCGTATCAGGAAGTTGTATAATTAATAAGAAGGGGGAAAAGGGAACTATAGTTCTAAATATAGTTTGTTATTCTGGAACTGATTTTATTTTTATAGTTTATTTATATTTAAGAGATTCTTTTTTGAATCAAGAGTGGTTTCTTTTATGACCATCCCATATATAAGTGTTACCTTAGCTTAAGATTAAGTATATTTTAGATAAGTATTGACTTTCACTTTTAATCATTATTAATAATACCTATTTATAACTACATATAATAATATAATAGGTATTCGTTTTGCTTTAAATCTTTCCTTAGAAGGTTCTTTATAGTTTATTTCTCCATCTAATCAAAAATGCCCAAATATTATTGAATATGTTACTCCCTTCCCCTTCAGTGCTTCTTTATAATACTCGTTTTATGTTTATGTGACAATATAACAAGTCCTTCAATAACTCATAATAACCCACGCCCTCTGCTCTCCCACCCACAACAAAACCCAATCGCCACCAATTAACGCCAGAGTTCCCGCACGAACCCACCGAACCCCAGGATGTGTGGAGGGGTTGTGTCTGCCCACCAAATTGATTATCACCAAGGATACCCACATGTGTCCACACATTGTCCGTGTTGAAAGTAAAATTGTCCATGGGTATCCTTATTTTTGAAAGCGTAATTTCCAGTTTAGTCGCAATTTATTGCTCGGTCTGTGCGGTCAATTTGGTGAAAAGTCCTTAAGATCAAGAAGGAAATAGGAATTTCCTTATGTGTTAGATGAAATGATTTATATTAAACCAAGGCAAAGGTGGCTCCTGGTACTGATGTGCCTGTTGAGCGGTTGGAATAAGGAGATCGCTGCTCAAACAACCCAGAATATTAATGTTTGTAAGTGCAGAGACGATCGATATTAAGGGTAACATAGGGAAAGGATAAGGTTTTCTGGTTCCTAGGTACTTTAAAATTTCTTTAAATTTTGTTTTCTGTAAATAAAAAAAATGCCTATAGTATTAATTAAATATTTAAAGCTAGTATATGATGATTTATAGTTATTTTTCTATTTTATTAAAAGCATTTTTATATGAATATTTTTTGGGTAAACCAAAGATTTCCAAATAGCATAACTAAGTCAAAAATGCATTAATTTTAAATTGGAAAACTTTTCTGCGCTAGTTTTTATAAGGCTAATAAATCTGGATACTGAGTTTTTAAATTTAATAAAATTCATTTATTGTAAAATTTTGACATTGTAACAATTTTAAAATTTGGACAAAAAAAATGAAACAAATTTTCTTTTTCAATCAGACATGACTAGATCGATTCGGTTTTTGATGTTGATCAATAATATATATGTATGATTTATAGGGTCGGAAATCACTACTTCTCTGTGTTCCAAGCTTCTGAAATTATTATACTCTGAAAGGGTATAAAAAGTAAACAATTACTTTATTAATTTATTAATTAAAACCTTTAAAGCCCCTTAAATTTGAGAACTTCTTTCGCTCAGTGTCTAAATAAACTAATCAGAGAAAAATTGTGTAGTTATTGATGATGGTTAGATACCCAAACTGACTTGGCGTAAGTCATAATGGATAGCTTGGGCCAAGGACAAGTAAACAAACTTTGAAGCCACGTAATACTTTCGTCCTGTTGGATGCACTTTAACCCCTTCCCCTTAAATCCTTTATCCTTTCATAGTGTTTATCAATGAGGTGGATAACGAACCGGCGGCCAAGGCGGTGAATGTGGTGCTCACCTACTTGAAGAAGAACATCCAACTGGGTCTCTCCGTGCAACTGGACACCATTGAGGCAAACAAAACCGATGCCAAGGTGCTGTTGGAAGCAAGTAAGTGATCATTAAGATTAACCTGTGACCTCCTTTCCTCTGATTTTAACTATATTCCAAGTTTGCAATAAGTATGCCTCTAGCATTGAGAAGAAACAAACGCCTCACTTGATCCTGGACACCACCAAGTCGGGCGTGGCCTCGGAAACGGTCAAGAGTTTCACCCAGGCTCTGGGCTTGCCCACCATTAGTGCCTCCTATGGTCAGGAGGGTGACCTTAGGCAGTGGCGTGATTTGGATGAGATAAAGCAAAAATATCTGCTGCAGGTGATGCCACCAGCAGACATAATACCCGAGGTTATCCGGAGTATAGTGAGGCGTCTCAACATCACCAATGGTAAGACTGTGACACTACTCTAGTTATCCCTTAAAGATATGTAATCCTCATCCTTTTGCTAGCTGCTATCCTGTACGACGACACCTTTGTGATGGATCACAAGTACAAATCCTTGCTGCAGAATATCCAAACCCGTCATGTCATCACTGCCATTGCCAAGGATGGCAAACGAGAGCGCGAGGAACAGATCGAAAAGCTGCGTAACCTCGATATTAATAACTTCTTTATTCTGGGAAATCTGCAGTCCATAAGCATGGTCCTGGAGTCCGTTAAGGCGGCATATTTTGAGCGTAACTTTGCCTGGCATGCCATTACCCAGAGTGAGGGCGAGGTGAGCAGTCAGCGTGATAATGCCACCATTATGTTCCTGAAACCCATGGCGTATACGCAATTTCGAGATCGTTTGGGTCTGCTGCGTACAACTTACAACCTGAACGAGGAACCGCAAATAGCATCGGCTTTTTACTTTGATTTGGCTTTGAGAAGCTTCCTTACCATCAAGTGAGTGATTGGGATCTTCATTTTTAAACTATCTCCAAAAATAATACCATTTTTCATACAGAGAAATGCTTCAATCGGGCGCCTGGCCCAAGGACATGGAGTATCTGAACTGTGACGACTTCCAAGGCGGAAATACACCCCAACGCAACCTGGATTTGCGGGAGTACTTCACCAAGGTGTGTGTGTGTGTTTTTCCCCATTTCCGGTCAGCTGTCAAATTATGGTTTGATTACTGAACAAACATTGCCTTTCTTCCTCCTCACAGGTTACCGAGCCGACATCATATGGAATGTTCGACCTGGTCACGCAACCCAAACAGCTTTTCAATGGCTACAGCTATATGAAATTTGAAATGGATATAAATGTGCTCCAGATACGGGGCGGTAGTTCGGTGAATAGCAAATCGATTGGCACCTGGACAGCAGGTCTAGACTCACCCATCGTCGTCAAGGACGAGGAGCAGATGAAGAATCTAACCGCTGATACGGTATATCGTATCTTCACAGTTGTGGTACGGAAATAACCGGTGTTTAGGTATTATATATTTACTTATTTACCTTATCTTCCAGCAAGCTCCCTTTATCATGCGCGATGAGACGTCGCCAAAGGGCTACAAAGGCTACTGCATTGATCTGATCAATGAGATTGCCGCCATTGTTCATTTCGATTACACCATCCAGGAGGTGGAGGATGGCAAATTTGGCAACATGGACGAGAAGGGAGAATGGAATGGGATTGTCAAGAAGTTGATTGATAAACAGGCGGATATCGGTCTGGGCAGTATGTCTGTGATGGCAGAACGTGAGATTGTCATTGACTTTACTGTGCCCTACTACGATCTGGTGGGGATTACCATCATGATGCAGAGACCCAGCTCACCCAGTTCGCTGTTCAAGTTCCTCACTGTCCTGGAGACCAATGTGTGGCTCTGCATCCTGGCTGCTTACTTCTTTACCAGCTTTCTCATGTGGGTCTTTGATCGCTGGAGTCCTTATAGTTATCAGAATAACAGGGAGAAGTACAAGGATGATGAGGAGAAGCGAGAGTTTAATCTCAAGGAATGCCTCTGGTTCTGCATGACTTCGTTGACGCCGCAAGGTGGCGGTGAGGCTCCCAAAAATCTTTCAGGACGTCTTGTGGCCGCCACTTGGTGGTTGTTTGGGTAAGTCTACCGCCTCCTATATGAATTTATAGATTAATATGTTGTTTTTCCCTTTTAGTTTCATCATCATTGCCTCGTACACCGCCAACTTGGCTGCCTTCTTGACCGTCTCCCGTTTGGATACGCCCGTGGAGAGCCTGGATGACCTGGCCAAGCAATACAAAATCTTATATGCTCCACTCAATGGCTCCTCGGCCATGACATATTTCGAGCGTATGGCCAATATTGAGCAAATGTTCTATGAGATTTGGAAAGATCTTTCCCTAAATGATTCCCTTACCCCGTTGGAGCGTTCCAAGTTGGCTGTTTGGGATTATCCTGTTAGCGACAAGTACACCAAGATGTGGCAGGCCATGCAGGAGGCGGGACTACCAGCAACTCTGGATGAGGCGGTGGCCAGAGTTAGAAACTCTACAGCGGCCACTGGATTCGCTTTTCTGGGCGATGCCACCGATATCCGCTATCTGCAGCTGACCAACTGTGATCTGCAGGTGGTGGGTGAGGAATTCTCCCGGAAACCCTATGCCATCGCCGTTCAGCAGGGCTCACATCTCAAGGATCAGTTCAATAATGCGTGAGTTTGAATTTAAGCTTGTATAGTTTGTATATCTTTAAAATATATATCATTCCATGTACTTACAGAATCCTCACGCTTTTGAACAAACGACAATTGGAGAAGCTCAAGGAGAAGTGGTGGAAGAATGATGAGGCCCAGGCCAAGTGTGAGAAGCCAGAGGATCAATCGGATGGCATATCCATTCAGAATATTGGTGGCGTCTTCATTGTCATCTTCGTGGGTATTGGCATGGCCTGCATCACACTGGTGTTCGAGTACTGGTGGTACAGATACCGCAAGAATCCACGGATCATCGATGTGGCCGAGGTCAACGGCGATCATTCGAATGTCAAGGATCAACCGGGCAAGCTGGTCGATGGCGTTATCCTTGGCAACTCGGGCGAGCGTTTTGAGAAATCAAATGCTGCACTGCGTCCGCGCTTTAACCAATATCCGGCCACCTTTAAGCCGCGTTTCTAGAAGAAAAAAGAACTCTCATCGAGTTAAAAAATAAATAGTAATCTATAAGTGTAGAGCACTGGGATGTCTACGTCTAGAAAATAAGCAATTTTGAACACTTTGTGCACTTTTAATCAATTCGAAATAAATGTTTAAAAAAATATTAATGTATTTTTTTACTTTGGGAAGTATTCTAATTTTAGTCAGAAGCATTAAACGGAGTGAAGCAGTCATTTCCGACCCTATAGATCATATATATTCTTGATCAGCGTGAACAGCCGAATCGATCTAGCCATGTTTGGCAAACCAAATTTTTTAATTTATTTTTTCCAAATTTTTGTTGTTAAATTTTACATGTTAGCAAAGTCAAAATTTGACAAAAATTTAATTTCATTAAATTTAAAAATTAAGTATGCAGATTTGTTAAACTAATAAAAACTAACATAGAACAGCTTTCCGAATTAAAATTAATGATTTTTTGGCTTAGTTATGAGATTTTTAAACTTTGCCTAATAGAGAATATTGTCGTATAAAATATAGATAAATATTTACTCAAAAAATTGTATTATAATTTTAGTCCGAAGCTCGTAAAACTGTTAAGGATTCATTTCCGACCCTATAAATCATATATATTCTTGATCAGCATTAACAGCCTAATCGATCTAGCCATGTTTGGAAGAAAAATTTTTTGAAAATTTTTGTTCTATATTTTTGTTGTTTAATTTTACATGTTAGCAAAGTAAAAATTTGATCAAAATTTAATTTCTTTAAAATTAAAAATGCAGTATGCAGATTTTTTAAACTAATAAAAACTAACATAGAACAGCTTTCCGATTGGAAATTAATGCATTTTTGGCCAAGTTATGACATTCCAAAAACTGTAATTAGCTCGAAAAAAACCAATACGAATCATTGACCAAAGCCATATATATTTTAATTTCAATTAATGACTTAATTGCAAAACTGCAAGGGTATACGAAGTTTGGCTTTCCGAAAAATAATTAAGCTATATTACGAAATAATATACGTAGCTATTATACGTCTAACGTAACCGCCCTGCTAAAAGCTTACGTGCTTGGTCGCACTTGGTCACACTAATCCAGCGGCTGATAAAAACAGGCAACCAAAAAGTCAACACTTCCATTTCCATCCGCGTCCAGCCAAGTATTCTCTAACTATCCATTAACCAAGATGTGCGACAGCTCGGACGAGGAGTTCCTGGGCACGGACTGGCTGCCATATAGCGCACGCTCCGAGTGGGCGGACGTAGAGCCGCTGGCGCAGGATGACGGTACCAATCCGGTGGTCTCCATTGCCTACAGCCAGATGTGTGAGTAATGCTCAGGGCCGGTTTTTATCTTTCCCAGTACTAAAAAACTATATCTATGCAGTCCGTGAGGTGTTCGACTATATGCGTGCGGTGATTGCGCGTGGCGAGAAGTCGCAGCGCGCTCTGGACCTCACCACCGATGCACTGCGCCTGAACCCGGCCAATTACACTGTGTGGCAGTACAGGCGTGATATTCTCCGCGAACTGAAGGCCGATTTAAATGCTGAGCTGGACTATCTAAGCGAAGTAATTGGTCAGAATGCTAAGAACTATCAGGTGTGGCACCACCGGCGTGTCATCGTGGAGATGCTAAACGATCCCAGTAACGAGCTGAAGCTCACAGAGAACTCTCTGGTCAATGATGGCGATGCCAAGAATTACCATGCCTGGCAGCACCGTCAGTGGGCCATACGCACCTTCAAGTGAGTAGAATTAGCATCAAGTTTTTCTGCTAAATATAATCCCTGAACTTGCAGCCTCTATGACGACGAGCTGAACTTTGTGGACCGTTTGATTTGTGAGGATCAACGCAACAATTCGGCCTGGAACCAGCGTTTCTTTGTGATCAAGCATTTCGGCTTCACGCCTGATCTAATCCAGCGGGAGCTCACCTACACGATGAATCGGATTCGCATTATCAAGAACAACGAGAGTGCCTGGAACTATCTGGTCGGTGTGATGCGGCAGGGAGGCAAAGGCCAAGGACTGAGCAGCTATCCAGAGGTGGTGGCCTTCGTGGAGGAGATTTACCAGGCCGGCAATCGGTCACCCTATCTGCTGGCCTTCCTTGTCGATTTGTATCAGGAGCAGGCACTGCATCAGAAGGTCGGCGAAAGCGATCAGTTGGCACGCAAGGTCTACGGCCTCTGCGAGGACATGGCCACCAAGCATGATGTGATACGTCGTAAGTACTGGCAGTATGTGGCCACACATTTAAAGAATCAGCTGAACAAGGCCGCCGAGCAGCAGGAGCAGCAGTAGTAGGTCCCAGTTCCAGCATTTTTTGCTTAGTTTTAACTCCACAAACGACGTACATAGGCCTTCTTTATACATAAATAAAACTTAATTTACCATAAATACTGTATTGCAATGGCAGCCCAGACATTGCCACATGAATTTCTTGAGTCAGGTGGGCGTCGTCAGTCAGTCTTTGTGTTTGCCGCATCTGTCGCTCTTTGTTTATCTAAGTGAACAATGTTTGTACACGTAAATTTCATTAACAATCAACAGATAACTTTAGCGCAGTGTGCGTTCTCCACTAGTGGAGGTTAACCAACATCGTAATTTATGGAAATTATTTAATACTAGGGCTTAGAAAGAGCTGCTGCTTTTTGTGTGCAGATTAATTTATTTTTTTTAACACCCATTTGCTTAAAAAGGAAATAAAAAACGCATTTTTGTAGACCCTTGAGTATAAATAATCTTTCACCCTTACACTATCTCCGTTCATTTGCCACCTTTATTTGTAATAATCTTATTCCATCAGAAATAGAGGAAGAACCTTCAGTTGCTGTCTCAATATTGTTATTTATTTAAACTTGCTTCAGTTTTTTGTGTTTAATTTTTTTGTTTCTCAATTGTTTTTTTGTTTTTCTTTTTAGTTTCGAGTACATACAATATAGCAGTTGTAATATATAACTTTTTTTCATTAAATTTGATTTTCTTTTGCATATACATATTTTGAGATTCGGTTTTTGCATTGTTTTTATAATAGAAAACCTCCACAGAAGACTCAAGAGTCATCATTTATGGGAGAGATAGGGATTGGAGAGTTGGGCTTGGGGAAAGTTGGGGAAAGTATGTACTTAAAATGAAGCAGAAGACATCTTTGGCGTGTTTCATTTTGTTGTTTCTTTTTGTTTTCCATTCGTTTTTAGATCAGCTAAGTAGGAGCAAAAATCATTTAGTACTCGTGTGTTTGCATAGTTTAATAAAATTTCGTAATAATAAAATATATATATATTTATTTGTTGGATTTTTGTTTGGTTTTCGCTTCTTTTTGGGTTTTTTGGGGTATATGTATATATATAAATTTGAAAAAGCCTACAAATCCAAAAGTAGTTTAAAATCAAAGCACTTCGTTTGGGTCATCGAAAGTATTCCATAATGTTATTTGAAAAATATATATGTATTTTTTTGTGGTATTCGGAAACGGAGAGGAGGAATATATAGTGTGTGTGCAAAGCTCTGTTCCATGGCCCAAGCGAGATTGATTCGAAAATTATCTTCCTGTTCAGAGGAGAGCCAGAAGAGAGAAGTAGTTGTGTGTTTCTTTTGTTTTGTTGCTTGTTTAACAATTTGATATATAGAGTTTAATATTTATAATAGTTTTTTTTTTGTATTTTTACTTTTTTCTTTAATAAATTGATGCGCTCCTTGGGTCTGCTGTTGGTTTGTGTTTCTTGTTCAGTTTTTTTGTAAAAGCATTCTTAGCAAAAAATTAAAATTTCTCTCTGTATTCGGTTCTCTCTGTATTTGTTCCGGGTTACCATTTTTTCATTTAAAATTTTCAAACTTCAGCGCCTTCATGATCGACTTAATAATCATTCCCCCCTGTTATTGTTTAGTGCTTGACATCGAATCCTACATATATATATATAATCAAATACCCATATAAAATAAATCCCTTGATTCCGGCCGAAATTCACGTGTCACGGATCGACGCCGTCGCGTTCTGAGTGAGGAAGCTTCATATACCATCTATAAATATACTCGTACAGTTTCTCCTTGGTTTTTTTTGTTTGTTTGTTTGTTTTCTCGTTAATATAATTTTGTTTAAAAAATCAACGCCACTTGTTGTGTGCCTTGTCTTGCCTTCCATTCTTTCTTCCGTCCTTTCTGTCCTAAAGAGTCCTAAGGGGTGCTTACAGCTTTAAGCATAAGTTTAGCGTAGGCGTAGCGTTCCGATCGATCTCTATCCACCCTCCATCTCCATCTCCTTGTGGTGCATCCTGGCCTACTTATCCTCCCCGATGCCCTCGTCGGTTGTGGTCTTGCGCTCCCTCGCCTCATCGCCGCTGATATCACATTTTTCAGCCAACATATCCTCGATACCCTCGTCCACCGTCTGGCTCTCGCCGGGCACATGCTTGCGCACCAGCTTGGTCACCACCACGCACTCGCCCTGCGGCAGCGGCGGAAATTTGCCGTAGGCTGTGTTCCCAATTGTGCCCACTGTGCTGTCCTCGTAACAGTCCGGCGTCATCCGGACCCGGCACGTCTCAAAGGCCTTCTCGTAGCCCAGCTTAGTATACAGATTACGGGACGCATCGTTTCCTGGACGTATCACAACGAAGGGCGTATAGCCGCGCTCGATCACTAGCTGGGTGAGTGACTTGGCCAGCCGGATGCCATAGCTACGGGGAGATGGAAGGATTAGTTTTTCCTGGGTTCCTTTTAGCTGAATTGTATTTGATAACACCCACCCCATTCGCCTAAAGTCTGGACGTGTTTGCATTGAGAACATGGCGCCGTAGTAGGAGTGAACCATCCAGGCTGCTAGCTCGCCAGTGTCCTTGCGAAAGATGCCCAGGCCGGGCAGCTTCCGGACAAGGATATCGAACAGCTGGACGCACTCGATTTCATTGGCAGGATATAGATCGTGGATGCCATGGACATTGTCCAGTGTCAGCAGTCGCATCTCCGCATCCTCCGGCAGCGGCTCCAGCTCCAGATCGGCGTTCAACTTGTTGCACACGTAGATATCACCACTGAGTCGTTCCATCACACCGAATTTGGAGTAGAAGTCATCCAGGCGATTCATAATGGCGATGTGCGTAAAGTTCAGGTACATAGGCTTCTGCCAATCTATAAGTACATCTTCGGTGCGCATCATATCGACATGCTCGATGTGTGCGGATGGACAAAATATGCCAAGCGTTTGGTATATATTGTTGTGCGGCTAAAAAATGTATTAATTAGTTTATGTTAAGTATAAATGTTTGCTAATGGGTACTTACCGCAAGCGTGCATCCTGGAAAATGGAGAATTATCGGTTTGTCGGGCCAATCTTTAGCAACATAAAACTTGAAATCCCAAATACGATCATTCAGGTACGTTTTTATGGTTTGATGAAACTGTAAAATAGAATTTAGTTGTAATATTTTATTTTAAACATGTTCCTAGATATTAACCTCACAAATTTAGTCTTTAAACTCAATTTATTTAATCGTGCTTGTTCCTGATAAATTTAAATCATTCACAATTAATCCCTATACTTATTCTTTAAGCACATTCCATATTTAACAATTACAAAGCGTTATCCCTGCCATTTGCCTTTTTGCATTCTCAGAGCTGTTTGGTAAACGCCCAAAAAAAGAAGGAACAAGTTTGCCTCGCTAAAAATCGAAACTTTTGGCCAACTCCAATGGTGGCCAAATCCTTGAGGCCGGTGCCAAGCCGAAACTCCACTCTTCCTTCCCCCATCGACAAAAAGCCGAGAAGCACGTGATGTGCAGAGCGGTGGGAATGGAGGGAAATGGCATTAAAAATTGAACAAAAATACAAGTGTAAATAGCGAAAACAGGTCAACAGAAAAATGCGAGCCCGGCCTGGCAGAGGGTTTGAGATTGCATGACTTGTGGTCTCGGCAACGCCTTCTGAATGCCAAGCTCGTTGGGGGGAGGGAAGGAAAGTGCAGGTAATTGTTGGTAAATTATCTGAGAGAACTGGGCGTGGTCATGGTCTGAACTTCCTCATAAAAATTGAGTAAAATATTTAACAGAAAACTGAATAAATACGCACCTTTAATGATTCCGGCAAATAGCGTTCTAAAGTTACCAAAATTTCTGGAAGCTCTGATTCATGCACCAAACGAAAGTGTTTACCTTCAGGAATGATTTCCATTTCTGTAACGAGAAATAAATGCAGGTGAAATTTAAGCTCTCAACGTCCTTCGTTTTATTTCTGGTAATTTTTGTTTATTACGATTCCCTATGTGCCCATTTTTGGGCTCTCTCAAGGACATGGTCGTCCTAAAAGGTGAGAATGAAAAGTCGGAAAAGTAAGAGTGAAAGGGAAACCGGAGGTGCACACACGTCCGGATGTTGAGGATGCTCTGCCGCAAATGGCTGGAAAGGAATATGCGAATCGGGATTTTCCGCAACCAAACATCGGCAGTTATATGCCCAAAGCTGCTTAGCCATGCAAATTGCTTGTGCATCGGAAGGACATCGGCAATTGAGCCAAATTAGCAGGAGAGTGTAATGCCAAAACAGGTAATCACCATCAAAATTTGCCCAATAATCAATTTAAGCCCATTAACTAAAATTTAGCTCAATTACTGTCGATATTTGATGACAAGATTGGCTTAAACTTGATTGGTTTTGGTGATTTTAGAGCTATGGACATTGGTTTAAATGTAATTTACAGAAAAAAGTGACCTTGACTGCATTTAATTAGTAAAAACAATAGTTATTAATCCAAGCTAAAAATTTAAGTGCCCTTGCTTTATTATCTTAATTCCGTAAAATTTGTTGACTTAATTGGTGTTTTTATTTTGTTCGTTCTTGTTTTTACACAGCGTTTTGATTGATGGCCATTGTGATTGATTGACGATTGCGCCAAATATCATTATCCTTCACTCGTCCGTGGCATGTGCCATTCCTTGCCCCTCCTTGCCCCACCGCCAGGGGTTACTATGACTATTTATTGCAGTTATTTGTGCGCTATGCCGCCCAAAGCGAACGTAATAATGGCGCACATGCTGGTTGGAATTAGTATTAGTCATGTTGTACATAACCCAAGGTGGAATGGGGCAGGACTTGAGCACGGAGGAGGAGGAGGAGGACTAGACTACTGGCCAAGATATGCCACGTATCCGCATCACGTCTGCTCCGGCTCAGACGGTGCTATGTAACACACTTAATTGTCTTTTGGGAAAACAAAATCAATATCAGACATAAGTATTTGCTATTCCTGTTAACAAGAGGACATTATTCATTGTGCACAGGAAAAAAATTGAAATTAATTAGATTAACGTATTGAAAGTTTCGATATAAAATGGCTTCTCTTTCGGGATTATTAGATCTTCTTTTGTTGGGCATTCAAAAAATATCTTAAAATAGTTAGATATTATAATAATTTAAGTTTCTTTAAATATCTTTGTGGTATTTAAAGCAGTTAAGGAACAAATTTCTTTAAGTTGCGCCAAAAACTATGCTATGTTTTATAAACGTTTACTCACAGCATCCTTTTTGAGGCATTAAACTTTGGTTAAAGTTTCTAAACTTTCCAGAGGTATACGTGAAAATCTAAAATGGAGTTTCTCACTCCCCAGCCATTAAGGACTCCCCCTAGTTACCTATATTAAGTTCACTGATACCTTGTTTTAGTTACCAATTTCTTTTCGTGTAACTTTCGTGGGTTGCACCGTGACAAGAAATAGTGAAAGGTGGGCGAGCTCTGGAGGAGTGCGGCTCTGATATGACAGCTCTGTTTATTTTATGGATAAAAATACCGTTGACATTTCACAGCGACACCCCCCTAAGGGTTGAAAAGTAGACGCGCAGACACCGCAGGTGCCGTCGTTGCCCTAAGAATGTCCCAGTCGGAATCATCAGTCCCATTCCCGCAACGAACCCTATTGCCGCCCAGTTTCGCCCACTCCGAGTCCCTTTCCCGCCCTCTCTCTCCCTCTCTCTCTCTCTCTACCTGTGGCATGCTATCGCACTTGCCAGCCAATTTATTTCGGTTACGTTTGTATTTCTTTTTCGGCCTAATTATTGAGTTGCCATATGGCTGCGATGCGTTAAATTTTAATACCCTTGGCCGGAAGGGCATCATGAATTGGTCATGACTTGGCATCCCTTGAATGCGATATACGAAAAACGGAATCGCGGTAATACGTGCAGAATGCAAAAGGAGGCGGGGACAGAGGGCAGGAACAATTTTGCAAAATTCCAGGAACAAGGAATTTGCGAACAAAGGAGCAAACGAAAATAAATGCACGCAAAGAACTTGAATGAATGATGGCAGGAGTTTCAGGTAGTTTGTATACGTTAAAAGGAATATGTGAAAAGAAAAACATTTAAAAGGAATAAGATAATAGAGGGATCTGGAGGGATCACCTAAGGAATTCCTGCTAAGGATCAATGACATTTGAAAAGAAAGAATTCTGGTAAAAAAGAATATAACAAGGATCAATGGAAGGCAACGAACTCGTTAAGGGATAAGAGATTAATAAATAAATGAGACCTAGATGGCAGGGGGGAAATACATAAATTATTTAATGGGAATATAAATGTAATCAAATATAAGAGAAATGTGAATTTAATAACTTAATGAGTGCGGTATTGAAGGAAAATAGGTTAAGGGAAGTTCTTTGGAAAGGTGCTTTACAAATAAGACTTTTAAATCTAGCTTTGAAGTACAAACTGTACAGGAAAAGGAAAATTCTATGTTTTAAATTTTTAAGATTCTAACAAACCCTTATGAGACCCTTATCTTCTTTAAATCAATGATTTTAAAAGGATTTATCTATTTTAAAGAAAATGAACAGGTTTCCTAAGGGAAAGTACCATCAATTATTATTATTATTATTAAAGGGTATACCGCCAGCTAATGAGAAATTTCTGGTGATCTTTCCCTCTGATTGCAGACGCTGGTTTTTTGGGGCGCATCCACGCTAATTGACATGCACATGTGCATTTTCGGGAATGGCGCGCAGAAAAGTTAGCGACATTTTCTCAATTAAATCGAGAAAATCAGATTCAGAAACACATACACTTACAAAAAATATTAATTCCGTTGACCTTGTGTGAATTTGTGGTTGCCTCCGCTGCGGTGTCTTCAGTTGGTGTGGTGCGGCTTCCTCTTCTTAGTTTGCGGTTGTTTTTTTTTTTGACTTTATCCTTGAGGCGTGTCAGCTTTGCGTGCGCGATATATTTATTTAATTTAATTTATTTTTTATTTTATACGCTCACCGTTATTTATGCTTCGAAATTTATTAAATAAATTGTTTTCGGTTTTGTTTTCAGTTATGTTTTGTTTTTGGGTTTTTTGAAAAAGTGCAGTATGAAAATAATTGTTTTTTGGTTTTTTATAAATTTATGTTTTTTATAGGCAAATCACAGATGTCTTCATTAGAAAATTTAGTTATTTTAGTTTTATATATTTTGTTTTTGTTTTTGTTGATAGTTTTTCCTATTTGTTTTGTTTTTTTTTTCTACAATTGGCTTGCGTTTTTTTCCTCGATTTATTTTGCTGCTTTGGTTAGGCCTTTTTTGAATGGAGATGTCGGCAGGCTTGAGAGCGATTGATTATTTCTCGGCTGCGATTGATTCTTGGGGTGAGCCTAACTCGATGGACGCTACTGTTGTGGCAGCAGCCTCTTCCTGAAAACAGTTAGCTCTGCTGGGCTGCCGCTGCTGCTGCTGCTGCTCTCTTCGTCGCTTCTTCCCTGTCTCTCCGGTTCGTTCGCTAGCCCCCGTTGCACCTCCACACTGATGGCCTAACCAGGCGGCGTCTCTTCGCTTTTTAAGCTTAACCTTAGCTCGGCTGCTGCGGCTGCTGCTGCTGCTCTTGTCCAGGCGATTCTGCTGCGTGCGTTATGCTATGTGTGTGTGTGTGTGTGTGTGCTAGCCCAGCAACATGGCGACCGGAGGGGGGCGGCGTGGAATGGAGCTGGAAGGGGGTATTCGGAGTTTTGCAGTCGATTATTATTCTCGCTGGTTCTTTATCGTTTTCGATTCACGGCGCGCGTCTATCGCTGCAATTTGTGGCTTTTAACCGAGCATTGATTTTCCTGCTGCGGCCTGGCCTGATTTGCTGCAGTGCATATGTATGGTCTATCCCTGTGCCTGAGTCCTGGCGGCGGCGCCTGTTCCGAATTTCGCACTTGGTATTATTTTTCCGTGGCTTTACTTCTCCGTTTTCTGGTTTCTGTGTTCTCTGCTTTCTTGTTTTTGTTTTTTTGGCCAGCCAGCCAAGGACACTCACGCACACAGACACACACGCACACCCACGGGACAGTTCACGCACCGTGGAATTGAGTTTCCTCTCGACTTTGATTCGATTGCGGCTGCTTTGTTTTGGGCACTTTCTGCATCCACTGATCCGAAGTTGTGTTGTTGCTGTTGCTACGAATGCTGCTGCTGCTGCTGATGTTGTTGTTGTTCCTGCTCCAATTCGCTGCCTTGGATGGTTTTCCTCGGGCTGTGGTGCTGCTTGGAAACCGAACTAAACTGACTGACTGACGACAACGGATGGTTTTCCTCGGACTGTGGTGCTGCTGCGACTGACTGGGAAAACTGACTGACGACAACGAACTGATTTCGCGGCCCAAGGAGCCGCAGCAATGAAGGCGGCAGCAGCAGCAGCAGTAGCAGAAGCAGATGTTGCTGTTATTCGTAGTAGCCTGTTGTTGTTGTGGTTGCCAATGTGGCACAGTGGACTTTTGCTGAAAGAACAGAAGGTTCGAGTGGGTTCTGTTCTGTTTACTTGTATTGATTAAAAATATGTAGGAATACTATTATTATTGTTTTTCAGTATGGATGTAGGAATATATTGATTTTTACGGAAGACTACCTTGTCAATTGTACTGCAAATAAAACGTAAAAAGTATTCTTATTCAGCCTGACAATAAGCCCGTCAGTTTATTTGTATTTATTTTTTGTTATATTTTTTAAGTATCTTAAAATTTCTACATAATATTTTAGAAAATACTTGTACTTCATGCAACCAATTTCCTCTGGTCGACCCAGTGTGCACTGCTTGCAAATTCGAGAACGAAGGCAACTGCAACGTGGCAGAGACGTCGTCATTTTTCGTGGATTCGTTTCGTACTCTCTCACGCTCTCAGGGCTCTCCATCCCATCCCTCCCCTTCCCAAGCTGCTCATTCTCTCTCAGGTGCACTTGCAAAAATAATGGCAATTAAGGGGAAACAGCTGGTCATTATTCGGCATGCTAATGAGTAATTGTTTAAATTTCTTTAATTAGATATAGGGAATTTTTTAAAAACAACTTTAAGAGGTAGCTCATGCGTTCCATCCATATTGAATCATATATGTAATTCGATCAATTTCAATAAATACACATCAGAAGCCACATGAAGAATGTAATACATTTTGATTTCTTCTATAATCTTTTTTTATTTTTAGTTTGTTGCAGTAGGTAACATATATATAAAACACTTATTGTTAACTTATTTTTATACCCTTGCAGCGTATTATAATTTTAGTCAGCTTTTAACGCTGCGAAGAAGTCATTTCCGCACCTATAAACCATATATATATTCCTGATCAGCATCAACAGCCGAGTCGATTAAAAATACCCGGCAAAAAGTATTTTTTTCAAAGTTTTTAAAATTTTACAAAAATAAATTGTTTTTAATTTTAAAACATAACGTGCAAATATGTTAGGTCGTTAACAACTAGCACAGAAAAGGGTTCCGATTGAAAATTAATGCTTTTTAGTCAAGTTATACTATTTGAAAACTTTTTTTTACCCTAATAAATTACTACATAAAAAATGTTAAATAACTTACAAACAAATTATTGTATTCTAAGTGATAAATGAATACAAGTATAGATTTATTGTATTAAAATTGTTTTTAATTTAAAAAAATAACGTGCAGATATGTTATGTTAATAACTAGCACATAAAAGCTTTCCGATTTAAAATTAATGATTTTTGGCCAATAATATAATATTTAAAAACTTTTTTTACCCAAATAAATTACTACTTAAAAAATGTTAATAGCTCACAAAGAAATTATTGTATCCCAAGTGATCGATGTATATGTTTCAAGTGTAGATGTATTAAAGTGATAGAGTAACTTCGGTTTTTATAAATCTTATATATTCTTGATCAGCATTGACAGCCTTGTCGATTAAGCTTTGTCAGGCAGATAGTAATTTTTTATTCCAATTTTGGAAATTTTATAAGGCGTTACATAGTCAATATACTCAACAAATTCATAAACAACTTTTAATTTTTCTAAATATTACCCAGAGTATGCAGATTTATTAAAATAATTAAAACTGCGATAGGAAAATGAATTAAAATGAATGAATTTTTAGCTTAGCAATGAGTTTTTTTATTTTTGTTTGTTGATAATTTTGTCATATTTAATTATAAATAAATATAGATCGATCCGATGATTCAATTTAAAATTGCAAGGGTATTTAAACAACAGCTCCATGCGATTTCTTGCCGTGTACGCGCTCTTATTTTGCTCGTCCTCTTTCTGTTTACCTCCCACTGACGCCTTGCAATTGTGTTCGTACTCACTCACATGTTGCCATCCCCATCGAACGGGAACTCTCTCTTCTCCTTTGGGAGAAATGCGAGAGCGAGCGAGAGCACGCGAGTGGCAGGCCGAAATGCCGACCGTTCGACTCACTCCAACTCCTTGCTGGATCAGGAGTTGAGTTTGTTTCTGCTTTGGCTTTTGTTTTGCACGTTGGCCAGCGTAACGTAACTGTACACCGGAGCAGCGCGGAATTCGTGCTGGATTGGGATGCGTTTTCAAAACACATTAGGCCAACGAAACCGCACACCAAAGCAGAAAAGCAGCACAGCAGTGAAGAAGCAAACAAATGGGAAAATGGCCACGGCGTCAGCGCAATACGTATACGCCACGTAGCGCCGACACTTTCGGAGCACGTGTCACCAAAGCCGGCACTCTCCCGCTCTCCGTTATCCATACTCCTTCCCATTCTCTCTTTCGCTCTCACTCTTTGAGCGGCCTGTTGTTCTTGCTTTGTTTACGCCGCTCAGCTGTGAGGACGAAAAGCCGTTGGTGCCGCAAAAAAATCCATTTTAATCGCCATAATTTGGACTGATATGTGTACGGTGCTCCCAGTCCCCATTCCCCAAACCCCAATTCCATCCAATCCGAATCCGGCGGACTTGACCGGAAAACGTTCTGGCGGCCCAAGGTCGCCGCCGCCCAACGTTAGTGAGTGTGCAATTGACATTTTTATTGGCATTAAGTGGTGCAGGGACAAGTTTCGGTTTCAGTTATACTAGTACTTCCATTTCCAGTAATTAAAGCAGACATGAAGACGCGCAAAACTAAAATACGACTTGGTAAAAAAAGTTAAAAGGAGCCATCCGACCTTAAAATACACTCTGCATGAAAAAGGTAGCATACTTTTTGGTGCTGGGCTTGGAAATTATTTAATTATATGAAGATAATGACTATTTTCATAAAAGTAAAAGCAGGATCGATCTAAATTTTTGTAGGTTAGTAGAAATTAGAAAACAACTAATTATTTTCATAAAAATAATTTATTTTAAAAACTTTAATTGTTAAGGAGAAAAAAATAAGGGTTAACAAGCTTATGTCCTTCGCACACACCTCATCGAATACAAGATACTCTTATCTATATCCTACAAATTCCGGATATAAAAACACGCCCTGAGTGTTTGGGGTGTTGGAATTGTTCGGAGGTCCTTAGTTTGTGTCTGTGTGTTGCATTCGAGTTGCGACTTTTGCGCCATGCCACGACATGCATCATGAATCACGCAAATTCCAAGCACGCAAAGACAATGACGCCAGCCCCTTTCGCACCACTCGCTGGGTGTCGAGGACGCATAACTCCCCGGGTTTGTAATCCATAGTCGTCATCGCCAAACTATAGTTATAATAGATACAGCAGTTACAATAGCTAGTTACCACCCCGACTCCAGTTCCTTGGCATTTCCAAGGAAACTTTGCTCGTAAAAGCGAGAATAACTGTTAGCTTTCATGCCGTCTAACGGGGTCTATGGCATTTAGTCAGGTGCCCTGATGGATCCGTCGTCCGGGAGTCCGGATCCCCAGAAGTGAATTGAGGAGGTGCCGACAGCCATTTGAGTCCAAGTGTCCTTGGGGGCATTTATTAAAATTTATATGCAACCGAAACCGAAACCCAAACCAAAACTGGAACTGCGGAACTGGACGACACCAGACAGATAAGCACTGCACGGAAATGGGGAATAACAATAACCAATCGATGTAAACAAATAGCTATCAATGTGGGATTTTATTGCCTAAATGAGTTAAGCGTGGAATAGAAAATAGTCCGCAACAATTCGTCATTTGTACGCGCACAAGAAAAAGTGAGCTCATGTATACTCCGCTAAATAATTAAAATATTTACAACTTTGAATCGGGAAATAAAATATAAAAAAATTAAATCGAATCCTTCGAAAGGCAAAAACATTTTTACAAATTATAAAGTCATTAAAAATGGAGTCCTAATTTTTCCCAGTGCCCTACAGTTTGGGGGCTTTCCTCGAATTGCGGTGTTGACAAACTGCTCGAAGAGTTTTTGGCTTCGACGGCTTTTTGCCTTCACTTTGGCGACTCGGCGACTCGTCCTTGGCATGAAGTTCGCTGCTGCTGGCCTTTAATTAGCTTTTCTGGGGATTACTCATACGACCCGGGGTCTGGGGGTAGACGGAGGATAAAGTGGAGCCATTGTTTCAGCACTGGCATGCGGATGTGGCCTGGTGGCTGGTCAAACGTGCATGTCTGGCACGTGTTCGGGGTTCGGCGGGTTCGGGTTAAAGTTAAGGCAAGCGAGCGGTCTTAATGTCAGGGTCAATGCAGGGGGCTTTGCATGTGTGCTATGGCCAATTCGTCGGATTGGCCCCCATATTTGAGGTATATACGTATAATGCATGTGGACACGTTGCATAAATCAAAATACGACAAAAAAAAGGGGAGAGACAATGGTTCGGTTTACAATGTAATGTTTTTTTGTTGCTCAACCGAGATACGATATACAATATTTATTCAAAAGCAATTGGCCGGGCGCTTCTGTCGTCGACAGCTGCACGCTGGGGACACTTTTGACGCACACACGTGGACACCACACCACTCACATAATGGATGACATATGTATGTACATATATATGTATTTAAGTATGTAAATATAAATATATGCAGAGAATAACGGTGGCCTTGCCCTTGGCAATTAGAGTTATTTTCCTTTACATTAAGGGGAACATGTTAGGGGTACTGCAGTGTGCCCACAAATGACTTAAAACCAGGCTAATAAATAATATAGGTGCATCGTTGAACATTACTAATGCTTGGTTTGTCAACAGGAATGATATTTAAGATACTTTGTAAAAATCTTAAGCCCGATGGCACGGTTTTACTTACTATTATTTATACCACACTGAATTGTCAAATTTCACTTTCATATATTACTGTATAAGTGTTTTCTGTAAATCAAAATAAGCTTTTTATAAAATTAAAATATTAAATATATGTAACAATGAAATAAATCAAAAGATTTTAAAAAATAACGTCTTTTGTAGTGCCATAGCAGACAGTAAGGTGGGTTGGGTGTGACCAGCTGCACGGAGGGTGAAATCCCCTTTGCGCTTAAATAAAATTAGGTCACACTACACCGGCTAATAACAAGAATTAAAATTTTGGTGAAATAATTGAAAATGTCTGTTTTTAAGCCAAAATTTCTTAAACCAGACACAGATGATGCAATTTCGGATAGCGTGGGCAGCGAGCAGCAGTCATCGGCCTTTGTTTTCAACGCACACCATAATTTGGGCCTAGTGGAGCAGGTAAACAAATAAAATTTAAGAATTGAATTTAACAACAATTATAAAAAAACAAATATTTAATTTCAGCGGGAGCGCTTGCCCATACGACAGTACAGGGACCAGATCCTGTACTGCCTAGAGAAACACCAAGTGGTGATCCTCGTGGGCGAGACGGGCAGGTAAGAGAGATGTTGTGGAAAGTCTGAGGAATTCCTTTTAATTTGTTGTTTTTGTGTGTGTTTCCAGTGGCAAGAGCACTCAAGTTCCACAGTATTTATACGAATGGGGCTGGCACTCCAAGGGACTGATTGGCATCACCGAACCACGACGAGTCTCCACTGTAAGTCCCTAGTTTTGTCCCCATAATATCTTCCACTAAATACTTATCCTCCCCAGGTTACTCTGGCGAATCGCGTGGCCCAGGAACGTGGCGAACTCGTTGGCGACACTGTAGGCTATGTGGTGCGCTTCCTGGAACGGATTACCGCAGAGACCAAGATCAAGTTCATGACCGAAGGCATCCTGCTGCGTGAACTTCTCGCCGATCCCCTGCTCACCCAGTATGGAGTCATCATTGTGGACGAGGCCCATGAGCGCAACATGCTCACCGACATGGTCCTAGGACTGCTGAAGAAGATCTTGCGTAAGCGTAGCAGTCTGAAGCTCATCATTTCATCGGCCACCATCGACGCGGGCTTCTTCAGTGAGTTCTTCAGCTGGCCAGGCTCGGGAGAGGTAAGCGTTAAGCTTAGCATCGAAGGACGCATGCATGCTGTGACCAACTTTTACCTCAACGAACCCTGCGCCGACTACGTCAAGGAAACCGTGGAAACGATCTGGAAGCTGCACCAAAAAGAGCCGCCCGGAGACATTTTGGCCTTCCTAACCGGCCAGGAGGAAGTCCTAGAAGCACTTGATCTCCTCCGCGAGTACATAGCCAGTTCGGAGCAACAGAATCTCAAAGTGCTACCCATGTATGGCAGTATGTCAAGCACGGATCAGCTGGCGGTGTTTTTCACACCTCCCAAGGGAGTGCGCAAGGTGGTGTTAGCCACGAACATAGCGGAGACCTCCATCACCATTCCGGGCATCGTATATGTCATCGACTGTGGCTACGTAAAAGTAAAGTGGTACAATCCCAAGACCTGTAGCGACAGTTTGGTTGTGGTGCCAGTAAGCAAGGCCTCCGCTGTGCAGAGAGCAGGTAGAGCGGGTCGGATGCGTCCCGGAAAGGTATATCGGCTGTATACCAAAGCAGACTATGAGGCCTTGGCTCCACGACAGCCTCCAGAGATGCGGCGGAGCGAGATGAGCGGAGCTGTGCTGCAGTTAAAGGCTCTTGGCATTGCTAATATACTACGCTTCGATTTCCCATCGCCGCCACCAGCACAGAACCTACTCTCTGCGTTGGAGACACTCTTCGCCTTGGACGCCATCAATGAGCAGGGGAATTTAACCAAGCCGGTGGGTTATCTTCTCGCCGAGCTACCCTTCAGCGCCATGCTCTCGAAGATGCTGTTCGTATCCGGGCAGATGGGCTGCTCCGAGGAGATCATCACCATTATTGCCATGCTCCAAGTGCAGTCTGTCTTCTCGCGTCCCGTTTCGGCGGTTGCCCAGCAAAGTGGACGGATCGCTCATCGACATTTTGAGGTGGCCGAGGGAGATTTCATCACACTGCTGAACGTCTTCACCGGCTTCGTGGAGGAGGGCATGACCAAGGAGTTCTGCGGCCAGTACTATCTCATCTACAGGAACATGAAGCGAGCCTACGAGCTGAGGGAGCAGCTGGTCACGTTGGCGCGCAAGAAGTACGGCATTCCGATCTTCTCGTGCAAGGGCGATGTGGAAACATTGTGCAAATGCATCACCGCAGGCTTCTTCACCCAGGTGGCCTATCTCCATCACTCGGGAGTCTACCGACAGATCAGCAGCGGCACTGAGCTATCCATTCATCCCAACTCCACGTTATATACATTGCCTCAGGCCCAATATGTGGTCTATGGAGAGCTACTCCAAACAACGAAGCTGTTTATGAACCAAGTGACGGTGATCAAAAGGGAGTGGCTAACTGAACTGGCGCCGCATTACTACCAGCAGACCACGGTGCGGGACTAGCAGGAAAAAAGAGAGATTATAGGACAAAGTGAGTTTGGGGAAACCATTGTCATTCCTTTAAGTGTAATATTAATTTATAAATTAACGCCTCTTGAAAAAAACTTATTCACTAGAAATTATGTAAAATTTTTTAGGTAAGCCTGCAGATCTAGCCAGCAGCAACGCGACCACGTCCCTGGAACAACATCATAGACTCCGGACCGCGAATAACGCGCGACATTAGCTCCCAGCACATTTTGGCAGGCAAAAGACTGAAACAGAAAGGAAATCCATGGACTTAGAATACGCATAAAAATCTATTAACGATAACTCACCATTTAAGGGGCGTCAGCAGGCGTATGGAGTTGGGCAAGACGCACCACACCTCGTTGCAGCGAACAGCATTCTCGATACGATCCGCCACATACTGAGGCTCCAGCATGGGCATCATGCGCGGACGAACCCCGGAAAACATGCCCGTGTTGATGTAATACGGACAGATCAGACTCATCTGGATTTGATCATAGCCATGAGCCTTTAAATCCGTTAACAAGCTCTCATGAAAGCCAATGCAAGCATATTTGGTGGCTGCATAGTCGCTGCAACCATAAGTGCCTAGCATTCCCGTCACTGAACCCACGGTGACTATGTGACCGCGATTATTTCGCATCATGTGGGGCAGGAAAGCCTTCACCGTCCAGTAATGCGAGATGATGTTGATGTTGTACGTATTCTGGATCACTCGGTCGTGCAGCTCCCAGAAGGGCTTGCAGCAAACAATGCCCGCATTGTTGATCAGTATATCCACGGCGCCCACATCTGCTGTCACCTGGTTGGCTCGCTGATAAACCTGCTCCCGATCCGAGATGTCCACCACATAGCCCTTGCAGTTGTCATAGCCATGCTTGGCCAACAGATCCACGGTTGTCTTGATGGCTGCACGGAAAATTATTGTCAAATCGAGCTAATCAAAATTGTAAATGTAACAGCTTTCACTCGCCGCCGAACTGGGGGTTTCTTGACCCGCTGTGCAGAAGCTGTGACCAGGCACTTAGCATGCTGGTGCGAAGTGGAAGTCGAAGACGAAGACGAAGCCTTACCTTCTTGATTGATATCCCAGATGACAATGCGGGCCTGTAGTCGTGCAAAGTTTAGGGCTATCAAGCGACCAACGCCACCGCCGCCGCCTGTGATGAGCACCACCTGACCAGAGATGTTCTGTGAACAATTGAAAGTGAAATGCGGTTTAGTTGGGGTTTGTTTACAGTATTTTGAAAACGTAAACGCTTGCATAAGTCTTTTTTAAACTGTTGTGATTAGTATATAAGCCTAGGAACTGTAGTTAAGTGATGTATGTATAACTGGGTAGTTAATTAAGTAGATATGTATATGTTTTATTTTAATATGCTTCAGCTTTCCAATTTTTGTTTCCCTAATTTAATTTGAACTTAAGAAATTGTAATTTCCCTACAAATTTAAACCATTTTGTCTGACTTTTGAAGGTGTTGTAGTCGGAAATCATATACGTTCGCCTGTGAGCAAACCTATTTAGCATACAAAAAAGGTGCGACTGCGCGCCATGATGTTGCATTTAATGGCAGCTCAGTATTTTGCATAAATATTTCTTTTATTTTATTTTGGCATAAAATTGTCTTGCCACATCATTTCGAACCAAAATAAAAGATGGGTGTATGATGCAAGTATTGCTATTCGAATGGAACTGCGATAAAGTTCAATGAAGCTAAACGAACTTCAATATCCTACACTTAAAGGAAGGAAAAAGCTCTTTAGTGCTGTCTGCTAGACAGGTAATAACTTTTCCTTTTTGCAATAATGTATACAAGTATATTTCTAAGCAATTTCCACACTCTGTGTGTGCTTGAAGCGTGGAAGTAACTAACTTACTATATAGTTATAAAGCCCAAGGAAAAGGCATTGCACACAAAGATGGTTGATAGATGCGGAAAAACTCGTTGTCATACTATGGTGGTTTTCTGCTTTTTCGTCTTTAGTCACGAATATACATACATTTATTTTCGGCCAGAAAATTCATTTAACGAAGGCAAATGTTTATTCCACAAAAAACAGTAAATAGCTTAAGTTCAATGTCACCCAAAGGCCTGGTTAATTGAAAATCAAGCTGTCTAAAATCCACCATAACCAGGCAAATATTTAAACAAATTTTTTAAGTGCTCGCTTAGGTAGCTGAGATGCCAAAAAAATGGTAAATAGAGAAGAGTTTTTATTCATTCATGAATAAGTCAGCAAAGCGTGTGAACAAAATTGCTTAGCCATTGAAGCAAATCAAAACAAAGCCATAGATTTGTTCAAACGCTTTCAACGAATAGTTTAAAACGTTGGGGAATTATAATGTTAAAATGTAACCACCTAAATTGCAGAGTAATATATTAATATAATAGTAAAAAACTATCACTTTATCTATCACAAACTATCAGATTTAGTAGACAATTAAATTAAATTTAATAAAATATTGATTTTTTAGAGTATTTTCAATTCGAATGGCTTGATTTTATTGAACCACAATCATGGTTTGTTTTTATTACCGCAAAAAATTGCGCGTGGCTCATTAGGGTTTGTGAAACTGCCAAAAAAAATTGAAGTTTGGCTAAAGAAAAACAAGAGAAATGGCTTTGAGGTAGCTCTATGGATCCATTGATTGATCTCAAGTGGCTACCTGCAAGTTGATTAAAAAAAACACACATTTTTGTGGGTGTCTTGCGGGTTTTGTTCGTTGTGTAATCCCACACTCAGCCAGGGTCAACCGAGTCGAGAAAGAAAGTCTATCAAAATGTAATTTAAATTATGCACATGCGACATTTGGTTTGACTTTTGACGATCAGATTACCTTTAACTTTCTAAAACGTTGCGGCAATAGGGTATAGTATACCGATTCCATTATGTAAAATATGGATTTAATGCCAAACACTATTAGATCGAGGAAGAACTGAAGGAAGGCTCGCAAAGGATGATCCATGTGAAGGAGTCCCGGTGAGGCAGTCATGATGATGGATCTGTCGGCCTTGGCAATTGAACGTGTGCGAGGAAGTTTTGTCCGATTTGTGTTTAAACTACGGATATTATGGATTCTCTGCGCATGCGCGACTGGATTATGCCTGATTAGGGCTGTGGCACACCACGTTAATGTACGTTTTTGATCACTTTTACAGCTGGGTATCAGATGTGCATGTTAATGATGGAAATGCAAATGAAATTCGCTTGAATTTCTCTCTCTCTCGATCTCGGATTTCGATTCGCAACGCGCCTATTATCTGAACTTTATGCTGGACGAGGTCTCTATGCTCCACGATCACGTCCACGTCCGCCTTGGTTGGAGTCACAAATTCGACTGAACGGCGATGCAAAAAATACATAAAGCCTCGACTCGGCTCAGACCGTCGCTGTTTCTATTTTTGTTGCCTTTTTCCATTATTCCACCGAGATTCACAATGGTCGAAATGGCTGCGCGATAGAAGAAATGGAAAACATTTTGAGCACTTTCTTAACTTGGCTTTTGGCTTTGGCTCTTTCGGGCCTAAACAGTCAGGCCAGGCCAGCTGTTGGTGGGCCCACTCGACCTGTTTCTTGGCTCATTTTATTGTCTTAGTCGGTTCCGCTGTAAATTTGATTATGTTTCATGTTTAGACTCCCTTTCGCTTCTATTCTCATGCTCTAATTTAATGCTGAAAACTGGTAGATATTTTTATTATTGGTTCGTATTTCTTTGTTAACGGAATAATAGAAACAAGATTTGATTAAATATGGAAATATTTAAATATGTCTGAAAGGGTTTGGTAAGCTTTTAAAATAATTCTTATTAAAAGAACACCTAACAATTTTTAATCTAAATAAACCCCATATTCGGTTCTTATATTTCGAGGAAATTTAATAACTATCTATAGATAAATTCTACATGCCAAATGTTTCTGTATTTTCAACTATTTTATCTGTATTATCCCAAAAACATACAAATATTTTTTAAAAAACACCTTAAAATATGCTATGTAATCTAATTTTCTATAATAAATAAGGCAATTTATTTATAACATTTTATTTAAACACAGATTTTGCTTAAAACGCAATGAAAGAGTCATTTGCGACCCTATAAATCATATATATTCTTGATCAGCATTACAAATAGAATCAAATCGATCTAGTCATGTCTGGTTTAAAAAAATTTTTGACAATAAAAAAAAATTTATAAGGTTTAAAATTGTCAAAATTTTTATAAAAATAGAAATTTTTTAAAATTTTTAATTGAGTATGCAGATTTATTAACCTTATAAAAAGGAAAGCTTTCCGAATTAAAATTAATGCCTTTTTGACTTAGTTATGAACTTTTCAATTATTGATTTTTCGACAAAATTTTCATTTAAAATATTGATAAATATTAATTTAATGAATGTGTATATTTTAGGCATAGTTCTGATCGATTGCCGTTTGATTCTATAATTAATTCTATTAAATACAATACTTCAATAAAAAAGAAAAAACCTAAGTGATTGAAATACGAAAAGAATTTCGTTACTTGCTTAAACAATTGCCATAAATAAATGTAAATTAATTCTTAAGGCCCCAGTTTCATACGGATAAAATATATGTATATATGATATGTATATATAAATATATCTGTGTGTTCTTAATTCGTACCATTTACATTAATATTTCAAGTATTTCCAGTTTTATTTATTTATCACATAAATTGCTCTGAATCTTTGTGTAATATATATGTAAATATTTTTATTGTAAATTTAATTAAGTCTTGTAATTAATTATTTTCCTGTAACTTACTCATTGAAAGTCTGTCGGATTATTTATTGCCTTTAAAATCTTCTGTATAATAATTTATATTTCAAAGACTTCTCACGTTTTTCATTAATACGGATAAAATATATATGTATTTTAATCTTTAAAAGATGATCTTAATATATTTGTAAGTTACATTTTTATATAATAAATATGTGACGCAAGCTAAAGCCACTTATATGGCAACCATATCACTCTAAGTAAGATGCTACTTTTGACTTATTTATTACCTAATTTAAATGTAATAAATTCTGATGTAAGATCAGAAACCTACATCACCTTTTGGGCCGTATCGATAGCGATTTCAATCAATGGCGGCGATTTCTGTCACGCGGCAATCGTCACGCGGCCAACAAAACTACCGATATTTTGGCCAGGCGCTCATAAATGCGAACAACGAGATACCGCTCTATCGATACGGCCGCAATCCGACGGATACACACCCAGGCAGGGCGGCTGGCACATACAGATACACACCTGCACAGCTACACAGATGCAGAGCAACACACAGATACACAAATCCACAAATACACAGCTAACACAGCCAACGTAGCGCACAGATACAGATACAACCGCTGGGTCGTGTTCGCTTCGGTTTGTGCTTGTTTTATTCGTCGCCCGCCGTCCGCTGCTACAGTTTATTGGTCGAGGAGCGTTCGCCAGTGTTCCAACTGGAACGTTGAAAATTTGTGTTGGTCGAATGACACAAACCGCTCAGCAGGCGCCCATCATCTTCCAGATGGTGGTTGCCCTCACATAGTTGGATGGCGGCTCTTATTGGCTGCCGTCGCAGCTGCTCATGGACTCCCTCTGTGTGTGCTGTTTGTCGAGTGATAGCGGTCCGGACGCCGTCAGCTGATTACTGTGACTGGTGCGCCAGTCGCAGACCAACCAGAGCGGCTTTAAAGCGGGCATATAATAACCATTACTGGCTGCGTTGCCCAAAGAAATAAAGCAAAAAGGGAAAACACAACCGAACAGAACAACAGAAGAGTCGATTAAGAAGCCTTTAAGCAAAGACCCAGTGCGGCCAAAGAACAGGTTATATCCTGGGCCACAATTATGTGGGTGGAGTTCGTTCATGCCTTCATGCCGCATTGGCCATTGTTTGGCCATTGCATTCGATGATAGGTCCCGGGCCTATTGGCAATCACAATTGTAATTGGCCTCTTGTCCAATTGACTCACCCCACCCTCAGCCCCTTCTGGTCCCGCACATCGTTAAAGTCGCTGCATTTTAAAGGGCGCCAGCAACAGGTGACTCGTTTGACTTCCGGTGACTTTGGCGGTGGCCCTGTGTCGCTCTCTGGGTGTTAGAAAAATGAGGCCAGCAGCAAAGACATCGCCCGTTGGCTGACTTGCTGCCTTGTTGCCGCCGCCGCTGTCGCCGCCGTTGCCTTTTTCGGAATCACACTTTGTGTAGTGCGATTTGTTGTATCGCGCGTCATTTAATAGGGGCGCAGCAAAAATAGCCAGCGGATTGTCGACACTTTTGCAGTCTCGCTCTTACTTGGTGGATGCGGGTGATGAGCGGGACGACTATACTGTTCCCGGCGTTTTTACTGCGTGTGGGAAAGGGATAACTACATGGTGGAAAGCTTTTGTGCGGGTGTGTGTCTGAGCTAAATGCTTTCTTACAGATAAATTGTGCTTTGGGAACATAGTATTTCGTTGCAGTGATTTTTAATTAATTTCTTTTTTGATTTTATTTAACAAAAAATACTCTTTGATGCATTTTAGCATTTTAAAATAATAAAAAAAATTGTGTCGCCTACCAAATATAGTTAGATATGGAAACATATATTTTATATGTAGTTTTTTATTTGACTATTTAATATGACTTTGTATATTATTTATGATTTTGTATAAATATATAGTTTAAGAAATGTAATTTTAAAACAATTCGTTATATTTCAAATATTTTTTG